TCGCATAGAATTGGATACACATTCTCCGGGTGGAATACAAATGATGTAAATACGGGATATAATGCATTACCATTTTAATTGAATATGGAAATAATTTGTTTCATTGTGAACGTTAGTTTATCAATTATTCCAATTTGGTCGGGTTTACACAATACAAATTTATTTATATAAAATCACATGTGTAATTTAAAGTTTTTAGATAGCTAATATATGTTTGTTTGAGAATGAAATCAAATTGCTTTTCAGTAGTTTTGTTGTGCATATTTTAATGAAATAAAAGTATTTTGATTATTGTGAACGGATGAAAATAGTACATCAAAATAATGCATTGCAATAATTTTATACAGAAGATTCACGTACGTACCGTGATTCTGGTATTTATTATAAAAATACATCAATGGAAAATCAAACGATATCATTTTTAAATAAAATCAAATACCATTATGTAATAGAGGTATTCTGTTTATTTGCGTATTATCTATTTTTGCCCCTACCTATTCACTGGTAGTCTAAGGGGATATTCCAGCTACGCCCGGGCAGGTAGGCGAGCTCACGGGCTCAACCTGAGAGAATTTGCTGGTGGTAGGACCTCTTGTGAGTCCGCACGGGTAGGTACCACCGCCCCGCCTATTTCTGCCGTGAAGCAGTAATGCGTTTCGGTCTGAAGGGCGGGGCAGCCGTTGTGACTATACTGAGACCTTAGAACTATATCTCAAGGTGTGTGGCGCATTTTACGTTGTAGATGTCTATGGGCTCCAGTAACCACTTAACACCAGGTGGGCTGTAAGCTCGTCTACACATCTAAGCAATAAAAAAATTTGCTAACACTAGCCCTAGCAAGAGCAGTGCTTCGTAGAATCTACCAACGAATCGGAATCGCAACCCACTAAGATCTGGCGAGAAACTCGGTAGGCTGACTGTCATCTAAAATTAGCCCCTCTACATATATCTAAAATAGTACTAGCAAAATAAATCGTTAATTTCTATATATTTTTAAATATGAACATGATTTCTTTTCGCAAACCTGTACTATACAAATCAGGGATTAATGAATTTTTTTGAATTTGCCTCGGGTCCTTAGTTATTATAGTTTTGGGTGATGATCCAGCGAATAAACTCGAATAAAAGATCACGGAAATCTTTGAATTTTAACGAAAAATAGTTGAGCGGCAAGTTTGGATAAAGGCAACGCTTATTAGGCCTACCATTTAAAATCATAATGCTTGTTATTTCATTTATTCAATGCAACAATGCAGATTTTCAAGTCTGGTTTGTAAAACAAAGACTTACTTGTGACCTAGAACAATGTGGATTACTTAAAACAACGACGCCAAAGTGAATAAGGATGTTCGAACTGATTGTTTGTTTCTTGTTTCTGTTTCAAATTCCATTGAGAGTGTTCTAAATAGTTTTTGTCTGTGCATTTACGAGACATGACAGAAAGTTTATTTTGTACTAGCTAACTGGCTGACTTCGTAGTGCCTCAATCGATAAATAAAATACCTAAACTTTTGTATAAAATAAACTTAAAACAAACAAAAAGAGTCCGTACGACGGGGGACACATCAAAGGAAAAAAAATTGTTATTTTTATTTAATTTCGAGCATTTTCATATTTATTTACCTTTTAAACCTTCTCTGGACTTCCACCAATAATTCAAGACCAAAATTAGCCAAACCGGTCCAGCCTTTCTCGAGTTTTAGCGAGACTAACGAACAGTAATTCATTTATATATAATATATGGATAGATAGATTTCCGAATATTTTCAAACGAATAAGGCTTCCTTCGTTCCCGTCCTTTGTTTGTCTATTTAAATTTGCTGTTTATCCTGAGTAAATAAAACAGTTCGGCTAAGTAGCGCTATTGACGGGTGCCGGGATGACTGATGTGGCTCAGTAAGCCTTTGACCCAAAGGCTTACTGGAAATAGATGGTCGTTATTAGGCCAAGGTCGAGAACTGGAATGTTGTAACCTATTCCGCCAGGTAGGTCTTTGAAATATCCTTGTTAAAACACAAATCGTGACTATTTTGGTATTACCAGATCACGAATACCAAATATTGTTAACACAGATATGACTTCGCACACTGAATTCACACCTCGTGGGAAAGCAACTAGGGCCAATGACCCTTAGATCAACGAGGCGATTAAATGCAATCTTTTTTCTGATTAAAATTTCTCTCCGCCTTTGCAATGTCGATGAGATAAATATAGATAAGTTTAATAGTGTGTCTATGTGTGTGTCGTAACTGTGCACCAAACTAATCAAAACCAAAATTACTATTAAAAAAGAATAGTGAAGTGTTCGTCGGATAAGTTATTCAGATGATTTGGTATTTATCTTTAATATTTTGGCCTTTGACTTTAACTCTCTTGTATTATAAATAAATGGGCAAAACAAAAAATCGTCAAAAAGTAAAAGCTTACCTATAAATAATCTTGTACGTCAACGAGATAATATCTGTTTGACCTAAAAGTCGAAGCTCTGATCGCTCTGGTAAAGAACGATCCATCATTAACGTCATCTATTAATATATGTATATTATTGCTTAGATGGTTGGACGAGCTCACGGCCTATCTGGTGTTAAGTAGTTAACGGAACCCATAGACATCTACAACGTAGATGCTGCCATCCTACCTGAGTTTTATATCTCAGTTTTAACACAGCAACGATTGCCCCACCCTTCAAACCGAAACGGATTACTACTTCACGGCAGAATAGGCAGTGTGCTGGAACATGCCCTTGTGGACTCACAAGACGTTCTACCACTGGTAGGTAATTACGCAAATTATAATTTTTTTACACGATGTTATCCCTTCACCGTCGATGTCAATCGTGAACATTTGTTAAGTGATTGTTTCATTAAAAAAATTGGTACATGCTTGCGGGATTCGAACACTTACATCGCTTCATACGAATGCACCGAATACCTTATCCTTTAGGCCACGACGACTTCTGACTTCTTCTTTATACATAAGTTTTACCCGTGCTTGTTGTCAACTTTTAGCGGTCATTGTTCTCGTCAAATGCGACGAAGAGTTCTACTTGCAGCCTGGATAGGTTGCACGCTGAAGTTTTTATGGGCAGACAGACAAAACCCACTGAGTGTCCCGTTGAAACTCCTCAGTGGATCGCGATTTCGATCTAGTGGTAGATTCGAACTCTGGCTGCGAAGCACTGCTCTGGCTAGGGCTAGTATTAGCCAGCTCTCCCAGGCTCAGCCCCGATAGCTCACCTACCAGGCTGTGCGTAGCTAGAACACCCCATAAGCTACCAGCGATTAGGCAAGAAAAATAAAATAAATAAATAATAGTTAAGCACCCCACGCTTTTTTACAATAAACTCATTTTTTCTTATCATATAATCAAGTTTATTAAAATTTATTTTCTATTTTTTAGTTGAATTTGCTATAAAAGCGTGTTTTGTTAGTTTTTTTTAAATATTATTTATTTTTAATTTTTTAGTTAAATTTCAATTTTTAAACTTTTTCCTATTTTTTTTAAATATTGAATTGACAGCGGTCCTTGATAAGTATACCAAATTTCGAGTTAATCCGACGTTTTGAAGGGGGTCAAAATCATGTTCAAATATTCCGTTATATACTAACATACATAGGTCTGAAGCTAATAAAAGCGTATTAAAAAGAAAACTGATGATTGTAGCTTATACTGATGAGAGTTGAAAATCTATGAAAGCCGCGTCCGCCATTATAACGGGCCGCGTTTCGTTCTCATCTCTTGAAGATTAACGCGACACTCAAACCCTTTTTTAATTATGCACCTTTTATGCCGAGAACGTCTGAATTTTTTAATTTGTCTTCGCTGGCAACCTACTTAAACACTTAAACACATTACCGTTGGAACGAACTTTAAATTTCAAAGATTATAAAATTTAATTTGCGTTCGTGCTTCGTTAAAATCTTTTTTTTTTTTTCCACAGGAGAAAATCGCCGGATCCCCACCCGCGCGGCAGGTGGGGTATGTGGGAGTTGAACCTCACTAAAAACTCCTGCCGCTCACAACCGGCGCCCTACCTCGGACCGGGCCGGAGCCCAGTCGGGGCTATTGAAACGGCGGGACAGGGTTGACGCAGAGCACATTACATCCATCCCACCGTCCCACGGACGCCNACTCTTCAAGTTCCATTTTTATTGAATATACACAGTATGTATGTATTACATACAATGGGCAAAAGAGAGAAAAAAGAAACCAACTCATCGCAATGCTGAAAATATGGATATAGTTCTAATCGTATTTCTCTATATTGCTTCGTAAAAATCACGTTACCAAATAATAAATGTCATTTTCAGATGCGTATTTGCTTGTTACACAAAGTAATTAAGTTCCGAAATGTTCTGCTTACACATCACTCAAACAAAGTTAAATGTGGATAAAATAAATGAGTAAACTGATATCTTTACCCTATGTCATTAGTTCATGATGTGTATTCACACCACCACTCCACACCACACCATGACACGCCACGCCACGTCACGCCACGCCACGTTACGTCACTCCATGCCACGCCACGCTACACCACACCACACCACACCACACCACATCACACCACACCACGTTACGTCACTCCATGCCACGCCACGCTACACCACACCACACAAACCACACCACACCACACACCACACCACACCACACCACACCATAAAAATAAGAAGAAATGGAATAAAATACAAATCTGTTACAGACATTTTACTAACTAAGCGGAACACAAGATGTAATACACTGTTGCTTAAGGCACGAAAAAGTATCTGAATTTATTGAATTTTTTTTGTCAACCCTCGATTTTACTATCCATATAATATTCGTACTGGGAGCTTTAAATAAAATCCATTATTAAGTACAAAAATATATATCTCACAATTTATTTTCCTTCAAAGTGTTGGGTTCTTGGATTGAAAAGTACATCCACAGCAAAAGAGAACGGGGAAGTAATAATAAGTAACGCGACGGAGGCTTTGAAGCTAAGTTTGTCTCCAGGTCGCCTACCCTGTTCGTCAGTAACACACGCGTTACTGGCCAGCTACCTTCTCCAATCTGAACTTGGCGATTATGAGGATACGGAAGTCGGTGCCGGTCTGTGCAAGCAACTCAAGCTGGTCCCACCGTCATCTTGCACTCAGGAGCTAGAGGAAAAGGTCGTAGAACTACACAAGACACACAGGTAGTTTGCATAGTGCCATAGTCGAGTAGCTTTGTGATAAGTCAAGTTAAAGACCCCAATATTTCTATTTAAACAATGATTGTATTACAGGGGTCAGACACCAGCGGAGGCCGAACTGAATTATTTGGAGAATGCGAAGAAGCTCGCCATGTACGGGGTGGACCTCCATCCAGCCAAGGACTCGGAGAATGTCGATATCACGCTAGGAGTTTGCTCGTCTGGTCTTCTTGTGCATAGAGAGAAGTTAGTGCGTTATTGAACGAGACTATATTGTTGGATAGGTCTGCGATCTAGCACCAGTTGTGTAAAGGACTAAAGGCTTCGTCAAACAGAACCCCAGCGCTATAAGTACGCAACGCTATGTCGCGGCGTTAGGACGCTTTGACGTCAGGCGTTGTAATTTTTTACAAATTTCATTTTAGCGTCGGAGTGAAGTGTACTAAAATACTGGATAATGCCCGAAAAATTGATAGAAATAGTTAGAAAATACCCATGCTTATACAATGCCAGATCTGAATCACTCGACATCTTAATACTTTTAAAATTTCAGACTGCTATAGAAAGGCACTATGATTTGGCGAATGCGTTGCGTCAAGGAGCGTTAGGCTCATCTAGTCAATTGGTGTGACATGAAAAGAGCGCGACGTTAAAACGCAGCGCTAAGTACGCGTTCTGTTTGACGAAGCCTTAAGGGTTTGAACCAAGTATCCCCTCTCTCTCGCACAGGCTCCGCATAAATCGGTTCGCGTGGCCGAAAATCCTGAAGATCAGCTACAAACGACACAACTTCTACGTGAAGCTGCGGCCCGGCGAGTTCGAGCAGTTCGAGTCGACGGTCGGCTTCAAGCTCGCCAACCATCGCGCCGCCAAGAAGCTGTGGAAGACATGCGTAGAACATCATACGTTCTTTAGGTAAATATGTTATTTTTGGAACGAAGCTCCTTATGGGACGATGCGGAGGGGTACCTACCTAATCGGGAAAAAACGTCCGTAACGTAAGATTTTTAGAATACATGTACTTAATGGATAGGCTAATATTTATTTGAGTGTTGGACTCCCTACACCAGTTGCGGGGGCGTTAATGATGAGAATCTTTGTGGGGGTGAGAAAGAATAATGTTAATTTTAAATGTCCAGCGAACCAATCGAGTACAGCTAGTGTATTTATAAAAGGGAAAGAGTTTGCTAGGAATAATAATCTCTTCTGCCTCACTCAATTTTTCCGGATCCGGACATCGATTTGGGAGCTGGGGAAAGGGACCAGAGGCTACGCTTTGTGCGTCGCACTCCACGGCTTACTATGATTCTCAAGAACGACTGGTTTTTTATGGTCCTGCAATATTCCAAGAGTTCTTTTAGTCGTTACTTCGAGAGTTCTTTAGTATCCGAGTACATTAGACAGTAAGACTGTCTTGAAGTTGTCTTTCAAAACGCTCAAAATTCAACTGTCTTCATTTACCTCTATACAACGTGGAGCCGATTGTCTGGAGACATTGTCGATATACGGAGACATTTTCCCGTTTTCTTTTTTAGTCATCGCAGCTCCCGCCACTACAACAAGAGTTCATCCCCACCACTTGGAATACTGTTTCCATTAGTAGTACATTTCGGTATATACACCGGTTTATTCATGCACCGTCCCGTATAACTTTACTTCTAGGATCTTTCCAGACCGTTATGACGCATCCGTTTTTGCTCCTGGTGTGACATTACATATTCTTCCCCAACATTGCAGGAGCATCCATATTAAAGATAAAGTCATCTTTAACTGCTTATGTTTGCCATAGTTTTGAAATATTAATATTCAACTACCTTACCTTTTGATCGGAATTTTCTTAACCACTTGATCGGGAAACCTTCCACTTCATACCAATAGCTCGATTCTAATAGTGGTTCAACCTTTTTTCTACTGTCAGTCCGCGTGCACACGACTGGTAATGTGCGTACATACAGCACAGTGTTCCGTTTCTTGCGAGGCCCGCCGCGCCATGGCGAAAGGGCTAGGAAATCTCTTAATGGAAGGCATCGGCATAGCTATGACCTGCTGTTGTTGTTGACCATTATCGATGGGAATAATTAAAAGTAAGGCCGCCTATAGCAATAAACTGTGGGTCTTCGAGTTTTGTAATAATTAGCCGTTGTTACGAAATATGAAATTATGACAATAAGAGTTTTGCTTATAAACCATAAAAAAATAAGGTTTTTGTTATAACAAGCTTAAAACAAAGTTCTTGCATCTTACGAGTTTGGATAACATTGCAGTGGTTAAACAGTTGTTGTTCGTGTGCAGGTTGATGTCGCCCGAGCCGGCAGCCCGCAGCTCCCTGTTCCCGCGGCTCGGCTCGCGCTTCCGGTACAGCGGCCGCACGCAGTACGAGTCGCGCCGCGCCGCCCCGCCCCGCGCGCCCCCGCACTTCACGCGCACGCTCTCCGCGCGCCGCCTCGCCTCGCGCAGCATGGACGGTACGTACACGCGCCCCCCGCCCCGCCCCGCGCGCCCCCGCACTTCACGCGCACGCTCTCCGCGCGCCGCCTCGCCTCGCGCAGCATGGACGGTATGTATAGAACAAAAAAAACAGGCAAACCGCTGCCTACTGCATTCGGAAAAGCTAAAGTCACTGAAACGATTAGTAATAAATTGAGATCGCTCGATTTCATTATCGTTGTTTACATTAAAGTAGTTTATTATTATTGGGCGGCTCAGAGCCCGCTAGTCTCAGCGCGCGCCGCCGTGCTGCCGCCCGGGGGCCGACCCGCCTTAGGAACTCGAATGTAAACACAGACGCGCGCCTGTTTATGTTACGATGAAATCATCCGGATTCCGAATCAATCAAAGTCTGCTCTGGATCGGACGGCTCCTGTTGTATCTCTCACATCAAGTTAATAATGCCGTTTTTTTCACTTTCTGAGACGGATCCCGCGTACACGGCACATTTGGTATTAAGAGGTTGCCAGAGCCCATAGACATCAATAATGTAAATGCCATCACTCATCTTGAGATACGAGTTCTAAGTCTCAGTTCTACAATGGCTGCCTCACCCCTCTGGATCCCCACTGCTTTGCAGCAGAAAGGTGCAAGGTAGTGGACATATCCCTGCGGGTTCACAAGGCCCCACTACTAGTAATTACGCATATTGTGACGATTATTTTCGTTCGTGTCAATTTTAGTAATGAGAGGATCTTTAATGAATGATGATGATGAATAAAATAAAATAAAATCTATAGTATTTTCGCGAAAACTGTAATACAATCAGTTTTTGCAAAGTATTACACTTGAATGTTCGAATCCAATCTTGAAGTGGATGACACAAAAAAGTCGGGATTCAGTAAATATCCTCATCATCATCAACAGCCCACAGTCGTCCACTGCTGGACATAGGCCTCTCCTAATTCACACCACTGAGCCCATTAAAGACACACAGTAAATATCACTTATGACAAATACATAAATAAACAAACAAAACAGTCACTTCTAATTTGAAGACACACACATCTCGGGCTTGTCGTAGTTCCGAACTGAGCGCTTACGTAGCTATGAGACGTAGCGACGTAACCTTGCCAAGTGTGACACCAGACTCAATTTAATGCTAATTTATTGTGACTCATGAGTGTAAGGCCGAGTGCACACTGACGACTCGTGAGGGATGTTCACAACTATTGATTACATTTTTTGATATTAATAAGCAGAATTCGAGATTACGATATAATTAAGTCTTTTTTGGGTACTTTAAGTATTGTCATCTCAAGAACGTAAATATTGAAATCTCAAACATGTTTGTAAATGCGTTCACTTGGCGGGTGAACGAGCTCACAGCCCAGCTGGTGTTAAGTTGTTACTGGAGCACATAGACATCTACAACGTAAATGCCGCCACCCACCTTGAGATATAAGTTCAAAGGTCTCAATATAGTTACAACGGCTATCCCGCTCTTCAAACCGAAACGCATTACTGCTTCACGGCAGAAATAGGCAGGGCGGTGGTACCTACCCGTGACGACTCACAAGACGTCCTTTTTTTTCCTACCTATGCTAATAGCCTTGAGAGGCTATTTCAGCTTCGCCCTAACATGTAGGTGAGCTCACGGGGCTCAAACCGGAGTGTTGCTAATACTGGCCCTAGCAAGAGCAGTGCTTCGCAGAATCTACCACCGGATCGGAAACGCGACCCACTGAGAAGATCCGGCGAGAAACTCAGTGGGCTGTGTCTGAGAGTTAGGACGGTGACCGGTGCTTGTGGTACCTAAGAGCACTGTTAGTGGGTCCGTCCTACCACCAGTACTTAATTTAATTTTTATCAATTTATAATGTTTACGATAATTACTTAAGATTTTTCATTATTACAAACGGTTTTCCGTGAATACCTTTAAACACAGAATTAAAATATTTGTATTAGTAAATATGTGAATTGTTGACATCATCTCGCACACCGCCGTCCGCGTTCGCAAAAAATCTGCCCAGCTCGTCTAGTGAAGTAGTCGATATTAATAAACTGTTTACTCACAGCATCTAGATACATTACACCGTACGCGATACGAAAACAATCAGTTATTTGCGAATATCCATCGAGATCGGTATCCGAGGGAAGAATATATTTCAATATTGAATTTTTAGCTGTTTTCTCGGTTTTTTTGCCACAGTGTTGCTTTAACCAGACCATTGGATTTATCGTTAAAATATTGCCCGTTGATTTTTTTGTGGAGCGTATAATTTCGGTTTTTTGGTAAAAGTAATTGTAACAATATACACATTTAAAAATATAAGACAGTGAGCTTAATTACGATTTTTTTTGATACACGGGACTTACTGAAGTGTCTGTTGCTTGGTGATTAGTGTACTTACTGATTTAACCTCACCATGGTGTTCAAAGATTGCTGGAATCCGAATTGTACTTCGCGTATGTATTAATAGAATGTTACTAAGGAGTTTCTGTGGGGAAATCGTTTGTACTTATGATTGAGTGGTATCTCGAGAGCTTTCGTCACATCGATTCTAAAATCAAAAACAAATCATTTCACGAGCGCCTTTCGCCACATTGTAAATGCCGCCACCTCAATACATGAGGTCTCCAAGTCTCAATTGTATGGTTAGTGACTGTCACAACCTTCAAACTGAAACGCGTGAGTGCTTCGCGGCAGAAACTGGGAGGACGGTGATACCTACAATAGACCTTGTCAAAATTTGCAGGATCAATTTTTGACAATTTTTTTTATTGCTTAGATATGTGGACGAGCTCACAGCCCACCTGGTGTTAAGTGGTTACTGGAGCCCATAGACATACACAACGTAAATGCGCCACCCACCTTGAGATATAAGTTCTAAGTTCTCAAGTACAGTTACAACGGCTGCCCCAACCTTAAGACCGAAACGCATTACTGCTTCACGGCTGAAATAAGCGGGGTGGTGGTACCTCCCGTGCGGACTCACAAGAGGTCCTACCACCAGTAAAAAGTATATATATATGACATAACATAGTATGTTGCATATAAAGAGGTTGAGAGGTATTAGTCATATGTTGGATTACTCACATCGTGAAATTCGAATTTATTTTAACAAGATATTTATTCTTTCAACGCTGAAGACGTCTCTACATAAATTTAATGGAAGTTTGTTTATACGATATATCATTTCTCACGGCATATGTTTACTATGGTCATTTAATAAAACGTGTGAAAATTAAGGATGTGTAAGCTAAGATATAACTGTTATACAAATTCGCGGACACATAAATTCGCATTTAAATAAAATTTAAATTATAGACCCAACCCTATGATGAGTAACGAACGTGTAATAAGATGATCCGATTACGTACAAAATGGGATAACTTTTAGATATCGTGTAAGGGACTGTGCTGGGGACACAAGTTTGAGATTAAAGTTGTCTCATATTGAGGCCAGTCGGTGTTTTTTTTGTCATCGAATTGTGTTTCTCTTAAAAGTATATATTTTTTTGCGTTCTTATAAGTATGTGGCGGGTAGCCATCATACAACGCAAGATAATTGACAGATGCCCGAATCTCGCTTACGACATTTTCAAGATAAAGCGCATGTATACAAGTTCCGAACAACAACATTCGGACCGTCGGTCTACCGAACAAATATCACCCGCTCGGTGGAAGATCTTTTCTTTTGTCGTTTAAGCCTTTCCAAAAGTGTTTATTTCACTATCTATACTAAGATATATAAATTTACAGTGGTTTTTACGGATGTTCCGTTATAACCACTGAACCATGACTCCGATCGACTTGAAACTTGGTATCCATGTAGAAAATACATGTACTTAATGGATAGGCTAATATTTATATGACTTTGGACTCCCTAATAATAATGACAATAAATAATAATGTTAATTTTAAATGCCCAGCGAAGCCGGCGAGTACCTACGACTTGATATATATATTCTCAGCTGCTTGTTTCAGTGTAGTTTTTATTCGTCGTATTTAGTTCGAGTCTCATCTTGAAATCATTTGACAATGACATTTGAAAAATTTGGCTCGCGTTTCGGTTCGATTTGCGATCGCTCGTTAATTTATTTATTTAAATATTTCCAAATTTAGAGTGTAACGCATCATGTTTTATGGTTTTCAGTACAGTTTACATGTTCACAACCAGGGCCGGATTTAAACTTAATGCCGCTCCTGGGCACCGAAAAAAAATCCGCACCAATACTGGAATTCTACCTAAACTTATAGTTTATATATTTTATTTTTTAAAATTAAAATAACTAATTTATTGCAGGAACTTTATCATAAATGTTATATATTCCAAAAACGTAAATAAATATTTGTTTTTTTTTTGTAACAATTATAAATTTTGCACTAAGGGTGAATCATAATTACGTATATAAAAAAAAACTAATTAAATTTCTTTAATTCCAGAAAATAGAAAAATCGATTATTATTTTAAATGTCCAAGGAAATAAATTGTTTAAATCATTTTGATTATTATTTTTTACCAAGAGTGCCAAAACTATTATTCACAAATAATGGATGAATTGAATTTTTTGAATTATCAATATAACAACACAGTAAACAAAACATATATACAACAAAACAAAACAGTAAATTATTAATTAATAGAATTGATTAAATATATTGAGCAATGTTGATAAAACAAAAAAAAAAAATACTTTAATAGTTTTGTCGCCCTAAGAAATGTGCCGCCCTGGGCACTTGCCCCGACTGCCCCTAGTGTAAATTCACCACTGTTCACAACTAATGTTATTGTAATATTGTCGTCGACAGCACTCGCTGGAGAAAAGGACGAGAGTCTCCCCGGGGACGCGGCCAAGCGGCACACCATGCCGCCGCAAGCCGCGCCGCGCCCCGCCGCCCGGGACAAGGTATGTACCTATGCTAGGGCTACTTATGTCTTTTATCTACTAATATCTATTGCCACGTACCATCCGGCTATGGAATGAGCTCCCCTCCACGGTGTTTCCCGAGCGCTATGACATGTCCTTCTTCAAACGAGGCTTGTGGAGAGTATTAAGCGGTAGGCAGCGGCTTGGCTCTGCCCCTGGCATTGCTGAAGTCCATGGGCGACGGTAACCACTCACCATCAGGTGGGCCGTATGCTCGTCTGCCTANCCATCCGGCTATGGAATGAGCTCCCCTCCACGGTGTTTCCCGAGCGCTATGACATGTCCTTCTTCAAACGAGGCTTGTGGAGAGTATTAAGCGGTAGGCAGCGGCTTGGCTCTGCCCCTGGCATTGCTGAAGTCCATGGGCGACGGTAACCACTCACCATCAGGTGGGCCGTATGCTCGTCTGCCTACAAGGGCAATAAAAAAAAAACTCCTTAAGAATAGTCATTTACGGCATATTCTTCTAATTATTAAGCGGGTAGGCAGCGACTTGGCTCTGCCCCTGGTATTGCTGACATCCATGAGCGATGGTAACCACTCACCATCAGGTGGCCGCATGCTCGTCGATAGGGCAAAAAAAAATTTTTTTTTAAAATAAGACAAATTTACTGCTCGCATAGATCAATTTACTGCACGTCCCTTAACATTCTCGACGAGAATAGGATTTTAGAAGGGGAAAAAACTGGGCTGTTTCAATGCCAATACCAATGTCGATGGACGACGGTAGCCAATTTATAATAGGCGGATCTTTAGGTCAAGAAACATGGACAAAGGGTTTACCCATAGCCTTGAATGGATCAAGATGGCTTCCATGTTCACGGCATGAACTGATTGGTACATTAGCAATCATGAATACAATACGCTTAGGTCACATTAGCATGTTCTAGATAATTCTTTCATATTTTTTCTTTACATAGAAAACTAATCATTTGCTGCATGGTATGATATTTAATGATAATCAAGCATAAAGTTCAATTTGAAGTAATCGGCGTGCTCTCGACACCATTACTTACAATTGAGGCTGTCAGCGCAAAAGTGGCCTAAACCACAATTCATATTCGTGCATATTTAAAACATCATAAATTTTGATGCAAAATCGGCCTATCCCTAGTTTCATCCGTAGATAACAGATGACTTTGTTAAACATCATTTTAGCGCGTACTTTCTTACCTACGAAGTATTGTAAAGGTGAATTCCTCATTATCTCCATACTAACTATGGTAAGCTTAGGCCATGTCTGGTTGTAGTGTTGACCGCGTGAACCCCCCTACTCTGACTGGGTCCTGACCCCGGACGGAGATCAGACGTCAGGTGTAAGAGTGCAGGGGAGTCGTTTAGTGCGGTAAGGCACTAAGGCGTCTGCTCGTGTCGTTGACAAACGCTGCAGACGTGAACGCGGCTTTTATTTTCAAGTTCTGTATATACACTCTTGGTCCGGGCTTACTAATATACTGTCACTGTCGTTTCCACTAATAGAGATGTTATTGAAGGATCAAATCGTGATTATTCAATTGTTTTTCAAATTTTTTTAATTCCATAGGTAGGTGGATGAGCTCACAGCCCCCCTGGTGTTAAGTGGTTACTGGAGCCCATAGAAATCTACAACGTAAATGTGGCCACCCACCTTGAGGTAGGTTTCTAAAGTTTCAGTATGGTTACAACGGCTGCAACCTTCAAACCGAAACGCATTACTGCTTCATGGCAGAAATAGGCGGGGTGGTGGTACCTACCTGTGCGGACTCACAAGAAGTCCTACCACCAGTAAATTAGTTGGTACTAGTTAGTTAGTTCAAATTGTAAATTTCATCTTTAACCATAGCTATACCATACCATACTTAAGCATAACCATAGTTCTAAGGTCTCGGTATAGTCAAATTCGATCATGATGTGTACTTTAGGGTACAGATGTAGGAACCGGACGGTCTTTGTTGAATTTGTTAACTGTCCCGTGGTCTAAAGTTGGCTTGATGATATCTAACCCCCCTCGCTCCCCCCACGCGGCCGGAGCAGCAGCGGCGCGCGTCGGGAGGGACCGCCTCCTCCGCCAGCTCGGTCGAGGGCGACTACCACGCCGACTCACTCCACCCACTCGGCCCGATCCACAAGGTGACCACAGAACCTCGGGATACCCACAAACTTTGACGGACTTCCNTGTCCCGTGGTCTAAAGTTGGCTTGATGATATCTAACCCCCCTCGCTCCCCCCACGCGGCCGGAGCAGCAGCGGCGCGCGTCGGGAGGGACCGCCTCCTCCGCCAGCTCGGTCGAGGGCGACTACCACGCCGACTCACTCCACCCACTCGGCCCGATCCACAAGGTGACCACAGAACCTCGGGATACCCACAAACTTTGACGGACTTCCTATTGTGTATTATATTCAAATTGAATGACTTTTGTAAACGTGTAGTCCTTGTGTTCTAAATGTGTATTGATAACGATCAATATTCTTACAATTGTCGATAGAAAAATCAGTACTAATCACACCGAACCTCGGGATACCGCATACTTTATATCCAAACTTTGACGGACTTCCTGTATATTCAAATTGAATGACTTTTGTAAACGCGTGTTACTTGTGTCTTAAATGTGTATTGAGTATCAATATCCTTACAATTAATGTCGATAACAAAATCAATACTAACCATAATAAAAATAACACTAAACAAGATTCATTTTGCATCGAACATACTAGATCATGAATCATTCAATTAACATTCGTTAAAGTTTCATAGCGTTTTTCCTGCACGAAACAAAGTAGACTAATGAATCGTGTTAGATTTAGATTTTGATAATTTTATGATGTGCTACTTATGTCTGCGCCATGCAGTACATTCTGTGATCCGTCAATGTCGAATATCTCACGTTTTTACGTCGATTTCTTCAGAAGCCCCCACCGGGAGCCGTGAAGGTGATGCCCACTGGCCCTGTCGAGAGGAAGGATGAGAAACAACCGGTGGAGCAGAGAAGACCTGCTGAAAATGGTGGGTTTTATTACTCCGGCACTAACGGCAATGTTTGACGGTGTAGTGTTAGCATGCCCGTTTGTCTGCTGGCAATGGCAATAAACAGAACATTTACGTATAGAGTATGTTTGAGATCATACTATATAGCAAGGATGAGCAACACGCCAAGCTTTTCTAAAATTAAATTCATTTTAAATTCATTAAATTTCAAGTTTTCGACTTTCTCCCATCAATTCGTTTTTCTGTTTTTTTCTTTTTTGCCTTTAAAATTAAAATTTGTATATGAAATATTTACATTTTAGTTTAGTTTTATTATTATTATTTTTTTCAAATATTTATTATTTTATAAATAAAGCTTGGTAAATTATTAATAAGAGTTAATCTATGTGCAAAAAAAAATTTAAATTTAAATTTGTCCATTGATTAAAAAGGTTGCTCACCCCTGCTAAGAAACTATGTAACACCCCTGTGTAACAAACGTTCCTCCCATTCGTCTCGCAGGCACCGACACGACCAGCGACCCCGGAGCGATGAACAACTTCGAACAGTCTCCGAAGAAGTCCAAGGTAAAATTCACATGCCTATGTATATGACTTTGAACACGTAAAAGAACACGCAGGAATGGTAGTGAACACACTGGCGAGTTTATGTGATCTCTCACTGTAGAAATTAGTTGTCGAATCCACATCGACGCGTTGTGGCGACCAGTTGAACTGAAATTAGGCCATTTGTTAGATTGTGTTGAGTATTCATGTTGGAGACAACCGCCAGACAGACTCTTCTCTTGATATGAGTTGGGCGGAGAGTCTGCTGGAGGGCCGCAGTGCGACTGGTCGTCACAGAGCCCGTTGTAAATATGTAAATGCAAGCGATAGAGCAGCGCATGGACAGCAAGCGATAGAACATGCAAACTTTATGATTCATTTCGCTCTGTTACGTTGTTTCGGAGACGGGAATTTCATTTTGAAATCCCTGAACAATGCAATCTTTATTTATTTCTGTTGTTTATTTTATTTATTTTTTAATTTGAATTTTTTCTCCTATCCTTCTCCTAATTCCTGTCCAAAGGGAGGATTCGGCTTATTCGGCAGCCGTAAAGATAAGTCGCCTAAAGAAAAGTCGCCGAAACGTGACAAATCGCCTAAACCGGACAAGTCGCCGAAAACAAAGGACAAAAAGGAGAAAGAACCTAAAATCAAAGTGGCCGCACTTGACACTTCCGCCGACAGCTCCAACTTGGATAGTTCTCTGGATAAAAGTCCGAATAAGGACGAGAAACCGAGCTTTACTAAGCCTTACGAGTACACGGACACAGAGAAGAGCCCCTCGCGCACTAAGCCCTTCATTCAAGGAGGGTTCAGTTACGAAAAAGAACCAATATCTGATGGAAAACAAAGGGCTGGTGATGAGGCTCAAAGTCCGACTACAAGAAAAGCCGGACTCGCATTCAATTACGCACCAGGTGAAGACAAAAAAGTTGCTGAAAGCGCTGAAAAACGAAAAACTCCTGAAGATCCTAGCAAATTGAAAACGCCTGGGTTGGACTATGTACAATCAGCAGCTTTGAAGGAGCAAGCTAAGAATTTAATCGATCCCACATTAGCTTTGTTGGACTCCGAGAGAATGCACCATGAAGTACCAACGCCGCTGCCGGTCGTGGCTCCCAAACCAGACAATGAGGTACAAGTTGTCATAATTACTGGTAAATATAACCCGAAGTCAAAGAAACTAGATGATGCTAACGGAACCATCCTTATTACCAAAGGAATGCTAAACAAGTCTAACGGCAAGATACAGACTGACAAAGAATTAATCAATACAAAGTCTGGACAAGTTAATTACACGGATCCCGCGACAGGCAAACAAGAAACGAAAAACGGTCACGTGGATTCTAAATCTGGCCATATATTATTTACGTCTGCTGTAGTCGACCCGAAAACTGGTAAAATTGATCCCACATTGGCTCAACAATATTGTTTCGTGGAAAAATCTTTGGATAATGTTGGCAATAAGCCTGGTCGTGATGTAGATTTGGTTGTAATAACTGGGAAATATGACGGCAAACATAAGAAATTGGATGCTTCTCACGGACACGTTGATGTGTCTAGAGCAGTAGTTGGGCCCGACGGTACTGTAAGTTCTAATTACGGTCTGATCGACCCACGAACGGGAAAGATAGACTACATTGATCCGAAGACAGGCAAACAAGAACCCAAACAAGCCTACGTCGATCAAAAAACAGGAAACCTTCTGGTTACGACCGGCGTTGTTGATCCGAAATCTGGTAAAGTGGATTCTTCACTAGGTCAACAGTTCAGCATCGTCGAAAAGGACGCAACTAAAGCAAACAGAGAAGTGCGACTGGTTGTTGTTACGAGCAAATATGACATAAAGAACAAGAAGCTAGATCCAACATTCGCTCACGTTGATTCCGTTAAGGGAGTTCTGAGTGGATCTGATGGTAAGATTTATACTGAATATGGCATAATTGATCCTAGAACTGGAGAGATTCAGGTCACTGATCCCAAGACGGGCAAAGAAGAAATTAAACAAGCCCAAGTTGACCCTAAGACTGGAAATATCCTTTTGCTGTCTGGTGTTTTAGATCCAAAAACAGGACAGTTGGATACAAATTTGGGACAGCAATATAGCATCGTTGATAAACCTATAGATACTTTTGGCCCAGTACCCGGTAAAGAAGTGCAGGTCGTGGCTATTACTGGGAAATATGATACTAAAAACAAGAAACTAGATAATCCCAATGGCTTTGTTGAGACATCCCAGGGAATTATAAGTGAGAAAGACGGTAAAGTATACACAAACTTCGGTGTGTTAGATCCGAACACCGGGAAAATTCATTACACTGATCCGAAAACTGGCAAACGTGATTCCAGACAAGCCAATATCGATCCTAGAACAGGAAGTTTTCTTCTTACATCCGGTGTCATTGATCCTAAGACAGGCAAAACTGACTCTTCTTTGGCTCAACAATTTAATGTCGTCGATAAAGATGCGCCAAAAGGCATTCCTGAAAGATATGCTAATCTGGTTATTATCACGTCCAAGTATGACCCCAAAAACAAGAAGTTAGACATCACAAACGCACATATCGATAGCGTTCCAGGCAAATACGACTTTGATGACAAGGTTCACACTGATTTCGGTGTCGTAGATCCGGCATCGGGTGAGATAACCGTTATAAACCCAGTTACCGGCAAACAAGAAGTGAAGAAAGCCACGGTAGATCCCAAAACTGGTAATATGCTGCTGACCACTGGGGTTGTGGACCCTCAGACTGGACAAGTTGATCCTACATTAGGACAACAGATTACTGTAGTAGATACGCCCAGAGATAAATTTGCAACAGTACCGGGAAGACAAGTTCAACTCGTCGTTATTACAAGTAAATATGACCCTAAATACAAGAAACTTGACAATCCGAATGGACATTTGGAAACATCACGAGCTATAATTGGTAATGACGGTAGAGTCCACTCTAACTTTGGAGTGATCGATCCCAAAACTGGAAAGATTGAGTATATTGACCCTAAAACTGGCAAACAGGAAATCAAACAAGCAGTTGCTGATCCTAAATCGGGTCATCTCATAGTTTCTGCAGGTATCGTAGATCCCAAATCAGGAAAGGTTGACTCGTCTTTAGCCCAGCAACTGGCTATTGTTGACAAGGATTCTAAAGCTATTCCCGAGAAATTCGTTAACTTGGTCATTATAACGTCCAAATATGACCCCAAGACTAAGAAGCTAGACTTGGTTGATGCCCACGTGGATACTATACCCGGTAAAATTACACCTGATGATAAAGTACACACTGACTTTGGAATAGTAAACCCGAATAACGGAGAAATTATTCTAACCGATCCTATTACGGGCAAACAAGAAATTAAAAAAGCTAGTGTTGATACAAAGACTGGCAATCTACTTCTTACCTCTTCAGTAATCGATCCACTTTCAGGACAAGTTGACCCCACACTAGGTCAACAGATCAGTGTAGTCGAAAAACCTAAGGACACATTCGCCACAATCCCTGGCAAAGAAGTTCAACTCGTAGTAATCACGAGTAAATATGACCCCAAAACAAAGAAATTAGATAACCCTAATGGATTTATTGAAACGTCCAAGGGTGTTGTAGCTTCTGACGGTCAAGTACATACTAACTTCGGGGTCATAGATCCTAAGACCGGCAAGATCGAACACGTTGACTCTAAAACAGGCAAACGTGAATTGAAACAAGCCACCATCGACTCAAAGACAGGACACTTGACCATAAGTACCGGTGTTGTGGATCCCAGAACAGGAAAAGTCGATCCTGGTTTGGGTCAACAGCTGACCATTGTTGATAAAGACGCTCCTAAAGAAAGATATGTCAATGTGGTCATAGTAACATCGAAATACGACCTTAAGAACAAGAAACTAGATCTATCGAATGGACATGTTGATACCCTTCCTGGAAAAATTGGAGCTGATGGTAAGGTACACACAGAATTTTGTGAAGTCGACCCAGTCACTGGAGAAGTCACTCTAATAGATCCTATTACCAAAAGAAGAGATGTCAAGAAAGCAACAGTTGACCCTAAAACTGGAAATCTGTCGCTCACGTCTGGAGTCGTTGATCCCCAAACAGGTCTAGTCGATCCTAGCTTAGGACAACAAATAAGTGTTATCGAAAAACCAAAAGATACATTTACTCCTATACCAGGAAGAGAAGTACAACTCGTTGTTATAACTAGTAAGTACGATCCTAAACAGAAGAAACTTGACAATCCTAACGGTCATGTCGATACTTCGAGAGGCATCGTAGCTGCAGATGGTCGAATTCACACGAATTACGGTATTATAGACCCTAAAACAGGAAAGATTGAATACGTAGATCCCAAAACCGGGAAACATGAAACTAGACAAGCATTTGCTGAATCACCAATTGGATTCAAATCGGGCACTCTCATATTGGCCTCTGGAGTCGTTGATCCAAAGACAGGCAAGATCGATTCATCTCTAGCACAACAACTTACTGTTGTTGAAAAAGAAACGAAACCCGTTGAAAGAGAGATTCACTTAGTTATAATAACGACTAAATATGACCCAAGGACCAGAAAGATTGACCCAAGTCAAGGTCATGTTGACACTGTCAGTGGAACCGTTAGTCCGGATGGTAAAATACGAACGGCCTTCGGAGTAGTTGATCCCGCTACCGGAGAAGTTTTAGTTACGGATCCAAGGACAGGAAAGCAAGAAATTAAAAAGGCTCAAGTTAACCCTGCAACTGGCTACATGGTTATCACATCAAATGTCGTCGATCCAAAAACTGGTAAAGTGGATCCAACCCTTATTCAGCAATTTAGTGTAGTCAATAAGCCCGTTGTGCAACATACTAAACCAGCTTCTAAAGGTGAAGTTCGTCTCGTTATTGTCACAAGCAAATACGACCCTTACACCAAGACAGTGGATGCGGGTACAGGCGTTGTGGATGCTTCTAAAGGATACGTTAGCGCTGAAGATGGAAAAATACACACAGATTTTGGTATTATTGATCCGCGATCTGGACAAATACTTTACAAAGATCCTCTGACCGGAAAACAAGAACTAAAACAAGCTGAAATCGATCCCAAGAGTGGTAACTTGATTGTCACGACTTCTGTGGTAGATCCGAAGACGGGCAGAATTGAGCCTACATATGCTCAGCAAATCACTGTGGTTGATAAACTAAATGTCATAGCTCCAGCAACCCAGAGAGTTAGTATTTCACCAGTAAAACAAATACCCACACCTGTGAAAACAATACCCTCTCCTCTGCAATCACCAGTTCGCACATCGTCGCCGATAGTAAGCAGTTATGCGCAGAAATCAGCACCTTTAACTCCAACCACGCCGAAATCACCTGTTAAACCTACTATGGCGCCTCCAGAACCACCCAAGCGAAAGATTGTTAAAATCATGGTCATCTTTACTAAACTTGATCCTAAGACCAAGAAACCTGATATGAATACTGCGGAAGTCGAACATTTGACCGGTATTTTAGATCCGAATGGCTTAATTGAAACCAAGTATGGTGTTATCAATTCAAACAAAGGTTGTATTGTATTAAGTGACGGTGCTGGTCAAAAACAGAACAAAGATGGAATAATTTTGCCGGAAACCGGGCAGATCTTTATCAACTCTGGAGCAATTGATCCGAAGACTGGTAAGATCGATCCTAACATGGGCATGCTTTTAAGCGTCGCGAAACAGGACGATCCCGTGGTTGAGATCACAACTATAACTGGCCCCATTGACCCGAAGACTGGTAAAGTTAGTGTAGATGACGGTACAGTAGAACTCACAAAAGGAAAGGTAGATGCCGAAACTGGACACATTTCTACGAAATATGGTGTAATTGACCCTTCAAATGGTGTCATATTTGTAACCGACACTTCGGATACAAAACCTGTCGAAATTGATGAAAACAATGGTCAGATTACTATAAGAGGAGTTACTGACCCGAAGACTGGAAAAGTGGATCCTAAATTGGGTCAGGTGATTGTTGTTGGCACTCATATTGATCCTGTAGTCGAAGTTACTACTTTTGTTGGTAAAGTTGACAACAAAAAAGGAATTATCGACGGCAAACACTCTGTAATAGAAAGTACCACTGGACAACTGAATCCTGTTAACAATAAGATAGACACTAAATATGGTCAAATTGACTTGGTAAAGGGAACAGTAACTTACAATGACCCCAAGACAGGCAAATTTGAAAGTCACGATTTGAAAGTTGACCCGGTTACAGGACAGTTCTTATTGAAAACCGGACAAGTCAACCCTAAATCTGGTAAACCAGACAAAGATGTTGGCCGATTGATATGCTTGAGAATTATTCGTAACAAAGTCGATCCTGTTTCCGGAAAACAAATTGTTTCTAATGACCCGAAGAACGTCAAGGTAGATCCAAAGACCAACCAGATTTGGATATCTGGTCCCAAAGATCCTCAAACTGGTGAAATATTGTACACTGCAGGCCAAGTAGACCCTATGACTGGATATATCATCACTATTTACGGGCGAATGGACCCCAGAACGGGATATATTGTTAGAACAACTGACATTGACAAATCTTTTATAAAAGTCGATCCAGTTAATGGACAAATATATACTGCTACTGGTGAAGTAGATGAAAACAATGAGCTTCTATACTCTGCGTCGCAAGTTGACCCTGGCTCCGGAGAAATTTATACTAAATTGGGTAAAGTTGATCCAAAGACCGGTCGCATTGTGATTGTCAAAATATATGTAATAACACAGAAAGATGACAAGGGCAGGGTGAAGGAAGTCGATCCAAAAGAATGTACAATCGATGAGACCACAGGCAGGATCATTACCACTAAAACGGTCTATTTGTACCAGATTATTGACCCAATAACAGGAGAGACCATTGATGTAGATCCAGATGATCCCAGACTCAAGGGAGCCAGGACAACAGTCACTCAAACTATGACTTTGTCTGGCAAGATTGATCCAGTAACTGGTAGAATTAAAACAGAATATGGTGACATTGATCCAGACACTGGCGACATTGACCCTAGCACTGCAGTCAGGGACCCTGTAACTGGACAATTAATTCTACACTACTCTCAAATCGATCCATCACATTTCGAAGATAAAAGCGGCAACTACACGATAGAGAAGGAGACGCAAGACCTACCGGCGAACATTGACATCCAAACAGTAAACACGCATAAATTTTCTACGTTCGGTAAAGACGAAAGTCCACAAAGAGGCGACGAACCCAAAACCTTCACAGAGTACACGACGAGCGAACACATCAGGCACCAGGGCTACGTGTCTTCCAACACTCCTTTATCCTCTAAGATCCCCGTTTCCCAACGCGCCAAGAAGACTCCCACGCCGCCGGTCGTCGTGAAGACGACCACGAAGCAACTGTTGACCAAGAACGAGGACGGAGTCACGCACAATGTGGAGCAGGAGGTGGAGAACCTGGGCACCGGCGAGGTCACCTTCTCCACTCACACGAACAAGGTGCGTTCATTGACCCCCAGTAACTGGCAAACGAGACGCCACTCCCTCTTTTATTTTTTATTTAAATTTTTTAGTGTGGCATAATTATTTGTTGTTTTTACCAAGCTTCCGCTCGTAGTTCCGTGTGTACAGTAAAAGCATGCCGGTCTAACATTAACTAGGCGGAAAGCCTCGAGCCGCTGGAGGGCAAGAGTCCGTACGTGACGGCGCGAGCGGTCACCACGAGGACGGCGACCACCCACCACGACCTCGACACCAAGGCGAAGACCCAGCAGCTCGAGGAGAAGACGGTGGCCCACACGCTCACGTCGTCAGCCACGCGACAGGAGCAGCGAGTGCTCACTCAGCAAGTTAAGACGATGGTCACCACCGGCGATCAGGTACACACACGCCGCACCCCCTCGTCCCCTTCGGTTCATCATTACGCATGAGGCCTTTTTATTTTTTTTGTTAAAACGCCTGATTGATGACAGCTTTTTGTTTGAACACTGAACGGCGCTAAAAGCTTTGGAAAGCAACACGCCATGTACCGACCCTCCTTGAGCTTGCATGCCTCAAATGTTCTCATGAGGTTACCGCGAGGCTTGCTGATGCATTTTTGAACCTTTTAAACAATCGATTACTATTCATTATTCGTGTTATTTTATCGTAAAATACAGAGTCATGTACCTAAAATATTTTGATAAAGAACCAATAAAATTATTAGTGTTAACAAAAATGATTCGACCATTTAAAAAGCTGCCATTGCATGTATTGAATTCTAATTCGTTTTTTTTTGTTTTCTTCCCTTAACCCTCCCTCGGCGGACGCGCATGGCTCGCGGAACGAACCCTCATCCCCTCACCCCGCCTCATACATAACCCAATCACGGTCATGCATTGTGGACCCTAAAACCGCCCTTTGCGTTTACAACCAAATCTGATCCTNATGATTCGACCATTTAAAAAGCTGCCATTGCATGTATTGAATTCTAATTCGTTTTTTTTTGTTTTCTTCCCTTAACCCTCCCTCGGCGGACGCGCATGGCTCGCGGAACGAACCCTCATCCCCTCACCCCGCCTCATACATAACCCAATCACGGTCATGCATTGTGGACCCTAAAACCGCCCTTTGCGTTTACAACCAAATCTGATCCTTAAAACCTCCGGGTCTCATGTATTCCCTCACCCCTGGGTAACGATCATACGCCATGTCCCACCTTGCGAGCTCGGGCGTTGTCCGCGGACAGCTGACCAGACGCGGCTCAGCCAGTTCACTGAGCAGTGGCGACTCTGGCACGCCGATCGACTTGGACGAGGGCGCCGGCGAGGGACACTACTACGTCACGGTGAGCGTCCGCAGTCGCACTAGCGGCCCCATGAGGACCGATTCTCGTAATACCACTATTTTTTACTGGTGGCAGGACCTCTTGTGAGTCCGCACGGGTAGGTACCACCACCCCGCCTGTTTCTGCCGTGAAGCAGTAATGCGTTTCGGTTCGAAGGGTGGGGCAGTCGTTGTAACTATACTAAGACCTTAGACCTCATGTCTCAAGGTGGGTAGCGGCATTTACGTTGAAAATGTCTATGGGCTCCAGTACCACTTAACACCAGGTGGGCTGTGAGCTCGTCCACCCATCTAAGCAATAAATAATAAAAAGATCAACTTTATTTTTCAGAACTCTCAATAAAATACATAAAAATCTTTTTTTAGTAATGGCTTTAAAGTTCTTTATAATCACACACATACACAAAGTTTAAAGGGTAAGTAATGTCTGTTCACACACAATCGCATCGCGTGTTGCATGACTTTAGAATTGTGACGTCAGCATGCGGATTGAGATCAATGTGCGATTAATCTTAGTGGTAGGTAGCCTAGTGACGGCCGCCGGACAATGTGCGCGCCTCACCTACTCAACAATGTTATTGTTAACCGACTTCAGTACCGCGAATGAGTGTGTCCAATGCTTTTGTAGTTAACATTAACTAATCGATTTCAAAATTATCGTCTGATCTCTTTAGTATAACAGGCTCAATTTTACACGAGAAAGGTAATGTAGATTGTTTTGTGCTTTTACAAATGCATTACAGTTAGTGAGTCTTGAATATAAAAAATCCATAATTCGGTCCCGATTTCTCGTGTTTTTTTGGCAGGTTTTTAACCCTTTGATTGTCGTGTAGGTCACCGGTGCCCTACGCGGGGCACTGAAGTAATCATATCGATTTCTATTACTTTGCGCCCGGAATGCCTAACTTTATCTTCTTTTGTCTTTTAGTATTTTGGGTCTTTTAAAAATAGATTCATTGTCAGTATCTTCGGATTGATCTTCCCCGGAGTCTACTAGACATTCCGGTGCCTAAGTAACACAAAACGACATTGTTACTTCGGAGTGGTGAGCACAAATGGCTATCGAAAAACTATTCGTATCGCTATCGAGAAAAAAATGTATAGGATTTAAACAGCGCCCCCTACCGGCCGTAATAATAATTAATTTACTTACTTTCGGTTCGCAATCGTATCGTCATGTTCTCGAAAATCGAAACTTACACTCATAATTGAGAACACGTAAATTGTTTTGACATGCGGTAACGTATATCGCGAAGGCTAGCTGGCTACCGAGTAATTTCGTCTAATGTAATGATCCGGTTTCGTATCGACGACTCGATACATTTACATTACGATTTCGATAGATTTTCGTGCTTGACGTTACTGTACGCGACGTAGGGCATCGGTGAGCTACAAACACTGCACGACAGTTGAAGGGTTAAAATGAGTAGTAAAATCCCTTGATTTGGAACAATATAATCATATCCGATCCTGTAGATCGAACAGTGGATGTCGCCCTAAACATGCCACATTAACGGCGCTTCTAGGTACCACAAACACCGGTCACCGTCCTCGTCGAACCCGTCGCGTTCGACGAAGGGCTCGAGAAGTGAATTAACCCATAGACACAGCCCACTGAGTTTTTCGCCGGATCTTCTCAGTCAGTCGCGTTTCCGATCCGGCGGTAGATTCTGCGAAGCACGGCTCTTGCCAGGGTTCGTGCTAGCAACGTCATCAGGTTTGAGCCCCGTGAGCCCACCCAGTTAAGGTTACGCTGAAATAGCCTCTCAAGGCTATCAGCTTAGGTAGGATAAAAATGATTAAATGAATAAGCTGGTTGATGTGTTGTTATCGACGCCAGGAGCCGGGCTCGTACCACACGACGAGCAGCAGCACCGCCACCGGCACCGCCCCGCTCGGCGCCGCGCTGCGCGCCGCCGCCACGGTACGTCACGACACGATTTAACCCTTTTTTATTGCTTAGATGAGTGGACGAATTCACGGCCCACCTGGTGCTTAGTCCATAGATATCTACAATGTAAATGCCGCCACCCACCTTGAGATATAAGTTCTAAGGTCTCAGAATAGTTACAACGGCTGCCCCACCCTTCAAACCGGAACGCATTACTACTTCACAGCAGAAATAGCCAGGGTGGTGGCACCTACTCGTGCGGACTCACAAGAGGTTCTAGCACCAGTAATTACGTAAATTATAATTTAATATTACACGATGTTATTCCTTCGCCGTGGAAGTCAATCGTGAACATTGATGAAGTACGTATTTCATCAGAAAAATTGGTACCCGCCTGCGGGATTCGAGCACCGTTGCTTCGCTAGATAGGAATGCACCGGACGTCTTATCCTTAAGGCCACGACGACTTCGACGACGACTTACCTTGTATTGTTGATTTAAGAATTGCCTCTTAACAGTTTACCTGGAAATCTCAGTCCGCCAAACCGTACTACCAAGTTTTTACTTCCCGAAACCTATAAACTTTTCAAGTCCCGCAGAAGAAAATAGATTTGATAAGCGGAGCAGAAGCTCATTGTGGTCGGTTAGCGCGTGACACCAGTAGAGTCATACACCCACTGCGGAGGCACGCAGTGCTTCCAAAATTAACATTCGACAGATTGTAGGAAAGAATTTCCCAAAGGAATATGTTATCAGTAATACCTCGGTATAAAGAATAAAGATTTGCCCCCTGGGCGTCCGTCGCAGGAGACAGAGCACTATCGCAGCTCGCGGCTCAATGTTAGGTCAGATGTTAAGTGTAAAGTTATTAAGATTCTTCAATCCTGACAAATCATTATGTGAACAGAGTACGGCGAGCGCACCGCCCACCGATGAAGCCGCAGCTGGGGAGGTCGTCTCCTCACAGACCATCAGCTCGAAGACGCGCACCGTCGAAACCATCACGGTCAGTACTTCACATCTGTCCTTCACTTACTTTTGTAGTTAAATCAGTAACAAGTATAGATGTACGTGTAACTGTACCCGCTCTCATCTCACATTACAGTACAAGACGGAACGTAACGGCGTCATTGAGACGCGCGTCGAACAAAAGATCACGATTCAATCCGACGGCGACCCCATCGACCACGACCGAGCCCTCGCCGAGGCCATACAGGTACGCGTCACGCCACGTCACGTCACGCCACGTCACGCCACGCCACGCCACGTCAGGCCACGCCACGTCACGCTATGTGGCGTACAGATAGTAAAATAATTGATGGTAACGTGGTCATCGCTGCTCGCGGGTACCGGGCAGCCCCCGCTCGCCGCTGAACGCGACCCTCCTCACGTGTTGATCGAGGAAGGACAAGTCATCTGAAATTGAGTCACACAAATCTTTCCTCAGAGCGATTTCCGTATAGCACCGTCCTGCTACACCAGACGTCTCTCTGTAAACTCATATGTCCTGTCCACTAAACAAGGGATAATGCGTATTGCAGGAAGCGACGGCCATGAACCCGGACATGACGGTCGAGAAGATCGAGATCCAGCAGCAGAGCGCGCAGCCCTAGCCGCCCGGGCCTCCCGCGCCGCCCGCGACACGACACGCAACGCTCATACCAATATTTAGTTTTGCAAGAAACAGTCGTAACTCTTCGTACTCGACAAGTGGAAGAGAAGTGAGTGAGACCCTCACTGATATTCAATACTTCATTTATTAAACTGTGCGACTGCAGAATTAACGTTTGTCGACGGCTCCTACACGATACGATTGTGGAAATGCTCAGCTCGGGTACGTGCTGCGTTCACGAGTGCTCACAGAGGTTGGTCTCCAACGACGCTAATGCCGCTCTATCATTAAACTGTAAACTTAATTTAAGGATAATACCCGAGCATCAATTGCATATGACCACGGGCACTCGAGAATGCCTTAACTTCAATCAGGAAAGCTAATTTTTTTTTTTGTATATTTAACGATGCCTCATTGATATTTGAGTGTTTTAGATTTTAAGTGTACTTTGATAAGTCGAGCCTCGACCGACATAGCTTTAAGCTCGCACGAGTCAGACCACCGCCTGCCGATAGTGTAGTGCTGCCCGCCGCCACCGGTCGCTGTAGCGACGCGCGACGCGAGCCCGCCGCCACCAGTCGCTACAGCGACGCGCGACGCGGGCCCGCCGCTCCGGTGCTATTGTTGGAGCGGACGCCGCCGCTATATATTTACTGCTGTAGTCCAGTCGCGGAGCAGAAAGAATTTCGTACGTTAACCCGTTATTTGAAGTCGTCGTGGCCTAAAGGATAAGACGTCCGGTACATTCGTATCTAGTATAGCGAGGCACCGGTGTTCGAATCCCGCAGCCGGGTACCAATTTTTCTAATGAAATAGGTACTTAGAAATATTTACGATTGACTTCCACGGTGAAGGATTAGCAGAGTGCAATAAAAATGTACCCACCAAATTATAATTTGCGTAATCACTGGTGGTAGGACGTCTTGTGAGTCCACACAGGTATGTACCACCGCTCTGCCTGCCATTTACGTTGTAGATGTCTTTGGGCTCCGATAACCACTTAACACCAGGTGGACCGTGAGCTCTTCCATCTATCTACGCAATAAAAATATTACCTGTCTTTGTCACTCCCGCGTAAATATAATGGGTCTCGCTCGCACAGATGCAATGACCGCCGGTCTCAGGGATTGTAAACCTTTTACTTGAGACCGTAAGGTTTGTTTTTGTTTGCATGTTGGCCTTGAGCAGTAAGGCAACCAGTAACTCTGATACAGAGGAATCGGATTTGGTTTTTGAATTTTCATTATTTTGAGTTCTGGCGAGCTAGTAATTTTATTGTAACTCGATTTTTATAACTATTTTAATATAAAATCTAAATAAATACCTTAACGTTATAACAACAATTTATTTATATTTTATATTATAAAATTTACTAACTTCTTAAATATATAATTTATTGTAATAACAATAATTTATTTAACAAGTTAGTAATTTTATTCTCCCTCAAAATTTTTTAAATGTAAACCATGCTTACACAACAAAAATGTTACTGACCACTGTCAGTAGGTAAAGAGATCATTGTATCAAAATTCTTCCTTCTCCGCGACTGGACTATACCAGCACTAATAGCTTCTAATTAACAAAGCTATTACTGTTCGCTTTCTTATTTGAAAGCCGCAAAAGCTCATCTTGATTGTTCAGAAGAAAGATAAGCTTCATGTCAGTAACCGGCACTATAATTAAGGCCAGTTTTGTAAAAAAAAAAACATTTAAAAAAAATAACGCGTTTTTTTTTTTTCGTCTTCATATTTCTCTGTAACTGCTAATAAAGCACGTTATTAAAGCTTTTTTTTATTTTTTTCGCATAAGCGTTTATAAAGTTTTTCGTTTTATTGATGACATTCCAGAAACCTCGACAGGTTCTAAAGTCTAATAGACTTTTAAGGCTAGATCATGACACTTAGTGTATTTTTTTTTGTTATTCATGAAAACTTTCGTATACTGCTATTCATCTATGAGTAATATAATGAGATGTAAAAATATATTGAGATGTATACTGGTGGTAGGACCTCTTGTGAGTCCGCGCGGGTAGGTACCACCGCCCTGCCTATTTCAGCCGTGAAGCAGTAATGCGTTTCGGTTTGAAGGGCGGGGCAGCCGCTGTAACTATACTGAGACCTTAGAACTTATATCTCAAGGTGGGTGGCGCATTTGTAGATGTCCATGGGCTCCAGTAACCACTTAACACCAGGTGGGCTGTGAGATCGTCCACCCATCTATAAAAAAAAAAAGGAATAGCAGTATAGTGAGTGCGACACACAGACGCCGCCGACGCCGCACATCTCTTCCATCGATACAATTGTCGCAATACGCGCGTACTCGTAATGCTAATGTTTTTATATATATATATATATATATATATATATATACATAATTAGAGCTTAAGTTTGTAAAAGCGCCTTGCTTGAGTTTACGTCGTGATTTAAAATCTGACCGGTTCGTAATTTTATATTATGCATATATTTTATTTAAGTGTATTGACATTTTATTGAGTTGAGTCGTGATGCGTTTATGAGTAATGATATATTTAGTACGCGCAGTGGACTCCTTGTGAACGTTATTCAGGACTCTGAAGGGAACCCTCGCGTGTCTGAGTAACTTCCGCAGGAGGTCACCGAGCGTTGTGGAGGTCGCGGTGCGGTCCGCGGGCACTTAGGGGCTGGGGACCGCACCGCGATCTCGTTTATATCGGGCACAGACATTTGTAAACACGGCTGCGAATACGTAGTGTATTAGAATGTATTTATATATATCTAACTAGCGAACCGCCCCTGCTTCGCTTCGGAAACATTAAATTTTATTATTGATAGGCGAGTCCCGCCATGTTGCGCGCGGTACGATAATAACTGCGGGTGACGCCGCGGGGCGAAGCTAGTCTAAAAAGGTAGCCGAAGTTACTCCTTATATCATCAGCTACCTATTAGTGAAAGTCTCATCAAAATCGGTCCAGCCGTTCCAGTGATTAGCCGGAACAAACAGGCAGACAGACAAAAATTGTAAAAAATGTTATTTTGGATGCATGTAGTAAAAAGCGGTTATTTCAATATTACAAACACACTCCAATTTTATTTATATGTATAGATTATCCGAATTCCTGTTAGTATGTCCACGGACCACAGTTCTTGCTGAATATAAAAGTGATATACAGCACGTTGTATTCAAAATTGTAAAAAAAAAGTGTTATAACAAGTTGCCGGTTTTTACAAATGTCTCGTCCAAGTTTTTTTTTTTTTTGTAATAATTATAGATGTTTATTTTTCATATTTTTTATTATTAAAATTAAATCGTCCCACTTTTCGTTTTATTATTATTTTTAATTATTTAAATAACGTGAAGTTATGTAATAGATATTAAAAATAAAATAAAGATGCTTTGTTTTTATTTCTGAAGTTTTATTGAACAAATGTTTGCTGAGACTTGTTGACATATTGAAGTATTCTCAAATGTCAATGGCGGTATTTGTCAAAGCAGTCGGCCTTCAAATATCATAACAATTTATAAATTTATTAAATACTAGCTGACCCGGCAGACTTCGTAGTGCCTCAATCAATAAATAAAACACCTAAACTTTTATATAGAATAAACTTAAAACAAACAAAAGGAATCCGTCCGACGGGGGACACGTCAAAGGGAAAACAAAATTGTTATTTTTATTTAATTCCGAGAATTTTCATATTTTTATACCTTTTAAACCTTCTCTGGACTTCCACAAATAATTCAAGACCAAAATTAGCCAAATCGGTCAAGCCGTTTTCATGTTATGTCGTGACAACGGAAAACGGGTTTCATTTTTATATATATAGATTAACTATATTAGGTTTTAAGATCTATTTTCAATGTTCATTCGTGTCTTAGAAATAACAGTGTGAGACATTAAACTAGTTACTGAATGGCTCCCTCATAATAATATTATAATTCATGTGTGCGCTATCTCGCTCTCACCTACTCTCTCCCTTTCTCATAATTTGTATACTAACAAGTGTGCTTGTTCTTAAATAAATAAAAAAGGCTATTAATAGTTAAGTGTTTACAAAATTAAAAACAGTTAGTGGCTAAAACTTCGAAAAGTTAAGATTAAAATTCGTCGATATTCGACTATAATTTATTTATTTATTTATTTATTAAGACACACCAACAGCAATACACACAAAACATTCAAGCTTAAAATTAACATGTATAAAATTAAGTACTGGTATGTAAGCCAGTTACAGGCATGTACAGCAATCTCCTATAACACACTATGACATGTTACAGCAATTGAAAACAACATGAAAACAAGAGCTAACTACACACACTACTAACTTTACAGATTACTAAATAAAAAATAATNTATATTTTATATAAAAAAGTTATCATATAAATATAGTTTTTCATATAAAAAAGTTTTCATTAAAATTAAAATAAGACTGACCTAAAGGTCTTAGTTACCAGGTCATAAAATCCCTTAAAAAATCATTTCGTGCGCAGCGCGTTTCGCATTACGTTGTTTTTAATTTTTGGCTTTCGTTCGTTTTCGTAAACAACCTAACATGCGATTTCTCGTAACAGGTTCCATTTTTATTTTAAAGCAAACTGTTGCTGCAACAAGTTTCGTAAAAAATTACTCATCTTTAGTAGGAAACAGCCTCAAAAATATAGTTTTTATTAAAATATCTCGAACAATAAACATAACCTAAAATGTAAACATTGTCTGATTTTACCAATTTGGCCATTGCTGGGAGACCTGAAAATTGGGCTCAAGAAACCTTCTTAGGTATTGTAACTTATGCCCAAATTCTAGCACTGTAACGCCAGGCCCAAGTTTGTATGGATTTCGGGTTTGTCCTTTCATACTCCTCCGTCCCCGCAATTTTCGTAAAAAGGGATACAAAGTTTTTGCTTCACGTATTAATATATAGATAATGTGTTGAATATAGTGTATTGAATATTGTGTATAATGTCATAATGAGAATATGAGCTGTATTGGTTGGTCAAGCCCGCTGGTATCACCCGAGGATCTTGGAGCCGATGGTCCTGATGACGCCCTCGTTGTTCTCATAGACCGTCCCGCGGCGGGAGAGCCCGTAGGGGGAGTCCTCGGCGGTGCGCAGGAAGTATATCCCGCGGGCGCTCGGCCGAATGCCGTAGCCCATAATGCTGGAGACCAAGAAATTATTTTTTAAATTGTTTTTCCAAGAACACACATTATACGAATACCCACCTAAATTCCCTCAGGCAGCTGTGGCCGTACCCATAAAGCCGCGGTCAGGGAACTTTTTAAATTATTACCCCAAAATATTTTTGTGTAAGTTGATATTACCCCATGGCGAAGAACAAAAAAAACCAAATCGCTCCTTTTTAGCATTTTTCATACTATAGCCCTCATGATAATTTTGAAAAGAAAACTATAATTAAAAATTTAACGACTCTAAAGAAGTTTCACTTCAATATATATTTTTTACTCACAAAAGTTTCATTTTTACCACCAAAATTTCATTTTACCCCATTTGGGGTAATTTACCCCGGTTCCCCGACCGCTGCCTTAAAGTTACCTCGGAGCGCGTTTGTCCATGTTTGACCTTGGTGACTTTTTATTTACGTTTTTTATTGCTTAGATGTTTGGATGAGCTCACAGCCCACCTGGTGTTAAATGGTTACTAGAGCTCATAGACATCTACGACGTAAATGCGCCACCCATCTTGAGATATAAGTTCTAAGGTCTCAGTATAGTTACAACGGCTGCCCCACCCTTCAAACCGAAACGCATTACTGCTTCACGGCAGAAACAGGCAGGGTGATGGTACCTACCCGCGCGGACTCCCAAGAAGTCCTACCACCAGTAATAAACCACTAATAATTACGTTTCCGGTATAAAACTGGACGGCCCGACCCTGGGTAGGTTCATCAAGTTACATGTTCTACATACTGCTTGATGGGGCTGCCAGGGATGGAGTTTATAGATTTACTTAATTAGAAACATAGTTCTTAGAATTATATGTAATACTAAGACACTATGAGACTATGATGTCTTGAAATAAAAGTTTTTAGTATTTATTTATTATACCAATATCAATGTTTAATAAGGAAATACATACTTAACAAATGTTCATGAAGTCATGACCAGAGAAATTTCTTTATTGGCACAATTACTGACGGTGGGGCGATCACACGAAGCCCGGTATACTCCTACTAGAGCCCGGGCAGTCTGTCCTTGTACATTACTAGTCTAGGTCTCCTCACCTTATCTCGGCGCCACATTGATTCTTCCTAAAGGCGTCCCAGTCCTTACAAGGCACTGCGAGGAAGGCTTCCTTGTTGACCACGGACTCTGCGTAGTAGAGCCAGGCTCGGCTGTGGCTGCACGTCTGCAGCAAGCAGTTCGGTTGCTGGGAGCCGCTGTTCGGGAAAAAGTCCACGTGGCCTGCAAGGTGCGAGGAAATTAGTCTTAATTCGAGATTTCTAATGAAATACGCTTTTTTTTTTTTTTTTTTTTTCCTACCTAAGCTGATAGCCCTAGCGGCTATGTCAGCGTAACCCTAACTTTAGTAGGTGAGCTCACGGGGCTCAAACCTGACGATGTTGCTAACACGAACCCTAGCAAGAGTCGTGTTTCGCAGAATCTACCACCGGATCGGAAACGCGACCCACTGAGAAGATCCGGCGAGAAACTCAGTGGGCTGTGTCTGAGAGTTTGNCGCGTTTTTCCTACCTAAGCTGATAGCCCTAGCGGCTATGTCAGCGTAACCCTAACTTTAGTAGGTGAGCTCACGGGGCTCAAACCTGACGATGTTGCTAACACGAACCCTAGCAAGAGTCGTGTTTCGCAGAATCTACCACCGGATCGGAAACGCGACCCACTGAGAAGATCCGGCGAGAAACTCAGTGGGCTGTGTCTGAGAGTTTGAAATACGTACTCAACAAATGTTCACGATTGACTTCCACGGTGAAGGAATAACGTCGTGTAATAAAAACCAAGTCCGCAAAATTATAATTTGCGTAATTACCGGTGGTAGGACTTCTTGTGAGTCCGCACGGGTAGGTACCACCGCCCCGCCTATTTCTGCCGTGAAGCAGTAATGCGTTTCGGTTTGAAGGGTGGGACAGCCGTTGTACTGATACCTTAGAACTTATATCTCAAGGTGGGTGGCGCATTTACGTTGTAGATGTCTATGGGCTCCAGTAACCACTTAGCACCAGGTGAGCTCGTCCACTCATTTAAGCAATAAATAAAAAATCTCAGAGTGGCAGTAGTCACGTTGTGTTGCTCGTGGGTTACGCTGTGAGCTGATCCCACCGGACGGAGAGGACAGAGAGTGAACTCGATCACCCGTCTGTGTAATACAAAGATAACGGTGCTCACCTACGGCATCCCTGAGCCCGTATACTCCGGCGTCCGTGTGTATGACGTCCACGAAGTCAGCGTCAGTCGCCTTGAGCCGCAGTTCGGGGTCGATGTTGCTGAAGCACGGGCCGGCCGGGTCCAGTCCTGCACACGGGAGCTGCGTCACATTACTGGTGCTCGTGTGGACGCGTGACCATGTTCGTCTCATTGACCAGCGGATTGTGAAGGTCCAACGCACATTTGACTACCGGTGTGCCGTTTCAAAAGGGGCCTTTTGAATTAAAAGCATCTCAATATTGTACCCGGTAATAGAGCACGGTTTTATCAAGTCCATATCTACTAACACATTAAATATTGCTACTCATAAGTACTAAAAAAAAAGATAAAAAGTACTAATAAGCCGAAAAAGATGGAGTGACCAAGTGTACGAGTATCTGGACACGAGACTGAGCCACGCACTTCACTGTGCCACTGACCGACATAAGTGGCTACAAATTACAAAAAAAGGTCACAGGCGGGCGCATCACGATGCTCAGCAATGAGCGATCGGCTGAAGGAGGAGGAGGAGGACTCATAAGTACTGCAGAGGATGTGGTAGTTGCTGTACCTCCTCTCTGGTATCACGGAGGAGATTTCGTACGCAGTCATCATAATACCTGAAATCCTGCCGACGCGCCTTCCCGTCAGGTCGGTGAAGGTTTTCCCGGTGAACCCTGCGATGTGGGAGCCGAGGCTGTGGCCGATTAGGTGAATAGCTCGAGGGTTCATGCCTCCTGCAGAGAAATAGAGTGGATGTAAAGGGGTTTACTACCCGACCGTCGAACTAGGAGTCTTTTGAGGGTATGTATGCATATCATCGTCGTTTTTAGCCTATAGTGCTGGACATAGGTCTCCCCAATTGCACGCCAGTAAGCACGATCCTCGGCTTCTATTCATCCAGCTCTTGTCAGCCATCCTGCATAGATCGTCACTCCACCTAGCCTGAGGATATGTGATTATATGAATGTCTAATTGTTTCATACTCGCGCATTTACAGAGCTCTATGACAAGAACCTTGCTAGAAGTACCAACAGCACCTATAGTACTAAGGTAAAGACAATTTAAGAAAGTTCTAGGTATATTTCAATTCAATCAGATGTCGTCGTAACCGCACTGACCACTAACATTTTTTAACAATAAATTCCTAAATTAGCTTAACAGGTACGTGCTTCTTGCTACTGAAAACATTCAGTGAGATATTTCTTCATTAACGTATTCATTATGACTGATGATCGTGGTTGATCGTCATCATTCTAGCACATCAGTCGTATCGTATAATTTTTGGGATGGTTCTTCGCCTTTGAGCGAAGTCGATCCATCCATTTGATGAAGATTTTTTTTGGGTGGACGAGCGCACGGCCCACCTGGTGTTAAGTGGTTACATGAGCCCATAGACATCAACAATGTAAATGCCATCGCCCACCTTGAGATACGAGTTCTAAGTCTCAGTTCTATAGTTACAATGGTTGCCCCGCCCTTCAAACCGGAACGCATTACTGCTTCACGGCACAAATAGGGTGGTGGTATCTACCCGTGCGGACTCACAAGACGACCTACCACCAGCTACGTAAGATGATTAAAATACTACTACAATTTACAAACAATACGCACAAAACAATAAAGTCATATGTGCGCTTTACGAACAACTAAAAAACAACCCTAACGACTTCAGTTTAATTTCAAATAGGTATATTTGTAGCCGCTGAGCACGAACAAATGATTGTGACAAACAAGCCAACACGTTCATTACGGTCACGCAAGCGTATTTAGAACTGACGTAAAGTTGTACTTGAATCACTCGATCACTTACGGTTATGATAGGCAATAGCCGTATTCGATGCGCAAAAAAAATTTATTTCTAGGTCTATTAAAATCATTTCAATCCTACAGCTACTAGCTAGATTCTACTACAGCTAGATTCGTTAAAATATTTTTTTTTCTGCAGGTATTTCAACTTTAAATTAGTCTACTGTAAAGTTCACGCATTGTCGCTTAGTCACGTTTGCCTTTCAAGCGTCGATATATTTACCGGAAAACAGCTTAAAATGTAAACCTCCCTTTTTATTGGGTAAAACGGGTGGACTAATTCACTGTTAGAGCGAGTACATAAATCTTACACATAGACAGTTACGCCAACTTCAGATCAGGACTTCTAAACTTAGAATATGCTCCCCTCCACGGTGTTTCCCGGGCGCTATGACATGTCCTTCTTCAAACGAGGCTTGTGGAGAGTATTAATCGGTAGGCAGCGGCTTGGCTCTGCCCCTGGCATTGCTGACGTCCATGAGCGACGGTGACCACTCACCATCAGGTGGGCCGTATGCTCGTCTGCCTATACGCCAATAAAAAAAAACCTAATCATGTTTCATAGTTGACCTGACCTCAAAAATATTGAGATTAGGGTAAAGAATTGTATCCTGTGACCAAACTCTGTATAAAGTCTGAAATTAAAATGTACAAATCTATCTTTTTATATTTAAGTCGATGTGTGCATGTTTCTTATGAACTCTGAAATGGCCTGACCGATTTCAATGAAATGCTTACCAAATGCTTAGATTGGTCCAGCAGGTAATAAGGATCGGATCAATGTGGAATCAAATATCGGCTGGCAAAGAGCGCCGGGTTCGACTAGATGTTAATACTGTCGGCTGACATAGCGTGAGACACTTCAATTAATTACCCCACTTTTGTAATACGCGATGTGCTGTGTGTGTGTGAAGTTATTATAACTGAAGGATACAGATAGTCCTCCAACGATAATAACTGTCCATTGTTATAAAATCCTGATCTGAATACTATTTATATCCGGATCGTGGTGAAAAATCTTTTACAGTTTCATCTTGTCTTTGTTTTACAATGCTGACAAGCAATGTACCGAAACGGGTGACGTTCTCTGACGGCCCTACAGCTTCTCAGGAAAAATAACTGCTAAAACTTTTTATTGCCTGGATGGATGGACGAGCTCACCGCCCACCTAGTGTTAAGAAGTTACCAGCCATATACATCTACAACGTAAATGCGCCACCCACCTTGAGATAGGTGTTCTAAGGTCTCAGTATAGTTACAACGGCTGCTCCCACCCTTCACACCGAAACGCAATACTGCTTTACGGCAGAAATAGGCAGAGTAGTGGTACCTATCCGTGTGGACTCACAAGAAGTCTTACCACCAGTAAATTAGTTCGTACTAGTTAGTTGAAATTGTAAATTTCACCTTTAACCATAGCAGCTAAAGTCGCCCCGAGTTTTTCTCCCATGAAGCGCACGTAAGTTGTCGAACGAAGGTACAGCCATTTAATGAGTGAGCTCCCGTCCAGGGCCAGAATGTTGAATTCTCCTGTGTAACCAAAATCATCCATTACGGTAATCGTAAACAATAAAGTATCTACGAAACCACGTGTCTAATAAATAAAGAAAATCTCAAATGAAAAGAACAAAAACTGTTTGAAGATGGTAAAACGGAGGTAAAGCGAAAGGCAAAGTGGAGTGCCTCTAAAAGTAAGAAATAAACACATTAGCGGGATTAAAATCGATAAAAGAAAGATAATTCGAGTTAAAACCGTAGAAGTTGTTTTAAAGTACTAAGCTGCGATTCCTCAAAACCCGATACATGATAGACGGTCGCGTGTGCTAGAATCATGTGTCTTAACTGGTTCTGATGGGATCGCCACCACCATCTGGATGTGGACGGGAGACGAAGATATCGTTACGCCATCTATCGCCGAATAGCCGAACGAGCATCAAAGGATCTACTAACATCTACAACGCTCGAGAAGAATATCTCGACGATTTTAGGGATGTCGTATCGATTATAAAATCGTTTTGGAGATAGCACGAAGCAGTTAGTTAGTAACCGGAACTACTCGAAGCGAAATAAAGAACAGGGCTCAAAGGTAGACATGTCGCCATGGAATGAAGAACGTATATAGTGCTGTTTTAAGGTTGAGAGATAAAAAGAAAATTGTTCAAGGTTAATGGAATCAACTTTGCTCTCACGTTAGGAATGTCTGGATCTTGGCAAAAAGTATTTGAGACGTATCTTAAGAAGGAACTGCTATTTTACCTTGACTTAGGAAGGCATTGCTAATAGTATTCGCAGTGGCCGTCGTAGGATCGTCAGTGAATCCGTGTATGAAGATGATCAGGTTCTGGTTGTGATTGTAGCCCCTGGTCAGCGGCACAAGCTCGGCTGCTGCTGTGATGTTGTACGTTACACGGAATGACCTGCACGTGTTGAATATCATCAGTAGATGCAGAGCGCTCGAGCTCACATAATGCCCTGTTTGTTAGTCGCGACGGGTACTCAACCTAATAGTATCAGAGGTTTATTTTTCCTACCTAGCTGAGAGCCTTGAGCAAGGGCGGATCCAGCTTTGGCGCCAGGAGGGGGTCACATTGTCGTGGGCAAGTTAAGAACTTATAATTTAATTTTGATAACAATAGATAATAAATAAATCATGATGTTCTTCAATTAGTCCAAGTTAGTTCAAGTCCTGGAACTAGCTCAGGGGGGGGGGGTCATGACCCCCATGACCCCCCCTGGATCCGCCGTTGGCCTTGAGAGGCTATTTCAGCGTAACCTTAACTAGTAGGTGAGCTCACGGGGCTTAAACCTTGCGACGTGCTAACACGAACCCTAGCAAGAGCCGTGCTTCGCAGAATCTACTGCCGGATCGGAAACGCGACCCACTGAGAAGATCCGGCGAGAAACTCAGTGGGCTGTGTCTGAGGGTTAATTTATTCGTCGAGCTCTTCGTCACAAGCGACGGGTTCGATGAGAACGATGACCGGTGCTTGAGGTACCTAAAAACAGATCGGGAGGATCCGAAATGACGTGTTTAGGCGACGTCGACTGCTTTCCATTCTGTCCGCAGGACCGGGAATGGTATCTGTCGATGTCTCAATTCTAAATAAACTAATATAATATAAATAATGTACATTCAACTGATCCAAACTACGATTTTCAGACCTCGTGAGAACTTCACTTGGACTATCATGAATATTTTAAAACTTAAAGAAGCTAAATCGTTCCAAGCATTCACAGTACGATAGATTATTTATGTCCTTCTTGCACAATCACATCAATATTAAAGTGTAAAGTGAGACTTACTGTGAGAGAAAATTAAGTGTTAATTGATTTAGGTCTGGCTCTCTGATCCCTTTGACTTGTTCATATTCAACTCCGATCAGTTTTTTTACATTCGAACCTAAAACAGAGTTTGAAAAATACATAATAATATATATACACATCGACTTAAATTACATAAATATATACAAATACCAGATGCCACACGCACATTGGCTGGATCCTATAAAAGTGAGGGTTTCGTCGATAGGTTGCTTAACAGCAGCTAACTCCTTGCCGAGACCTCGGCCAATCTTATCGGCTACGTTCAGGTTTTGGCCCGTCGCACCGGCGAATACCAGCGTGGCTAAGATTTGGAGTGCTGACGCCATGTTGAGTGTTATCTGCAGATGTATTGAGAGCATCGGTATCGCAGGATCCGACTGATGCATGACCACGACCACTCTGTCAAGAGTGTACGAATAGGAAGTATTGAATTACTATCGACACTTTTTTTTTATTGCTTAGATGGGTGAACGCGCCCACAGCGCTCCTGGTGTTAAGTGGTTATTGGAGACCATAGACATCTACAACTTTAATGCGCCACCCACCTTGAGATATAAGTTCTAAGGTCTCAAGTATAGTTACAACATCTGCCCCACCCTTCAAACCGAAACGGATTACTTCTTCACGTCAGAAATAGGCGGGGTGGTGGTACCTACCCGCGCGGACTCACAAGTGGTCCTACCACCAGTAATTACGCAAATTATAATTTCGCGGGTTTGATTTTTGAGTTTTGCATTTGTTGAGTACGTATTCCATTAGAAAAATTGGGTACCCGCCTGCGGGATTCGAACACCGGTGCATCGCTTCAACACGAATGCACCGGACGTCTTATCCTTTAGGCTAAGACGACTTCTAAAAGTTATGTCGACGATAATATTTCAAATCTCTAGCTTAATCGACACGATATACGCACCAGTTTTTAAATCTCATGATCGGCTTTCACTTACTGTACAAATTTTAACATCAACATCTGTCATCGATTTTGTGGTGATAGCGGAGCAAACAAATTGGCAAACAAAATACCACAGGAAAACGATATACATAGATAGGTTCGGTAAGGACCGAAATACGTCTGTCCGTACGTTAACTTAAAACTTACATGTTGTGCCAAACCATTCCATACTTGTTGAAGAGGGTTCGTGTCAGTAACATTGTCCATTTTGACAACATTAATAGATTAATGTTATTTTATATAGAATTATAAATTAGCATTGGTCTACTTCAATTCTAATGAAAAGATTTAGTCGATTTTCCTAACGTATGTAGTCATTTGTCCACATTCATTAATTATTTAATATCATTCGTGAATATTCACGATGAGCTCCGTAGTCTTGTTCAATACAAACACACAATTAAAACTATTTTATCTGTAACTATTTAGCCGTGACCACGAAAACTGTAAAGTATATTATATACCTACGAAGCGTCGAAAATAATAAAATGATAATAATAAACGCGATATTAAGCCATAAAAATAGTTTGAATTATGTGTACGACTCGCGAAGACGGTAGGCTGTAATCAAACACAGCCATAATATTGGTTCGACTAACGCCACCCGTGTTACCGCACACGAAGTGAACAGTGCGATCTTTTTGCATTAATTACTTTAATTGACATTATCTACTCAGTGAAATCGTTAAAATAATTAAACAACAATCAATTTAATTAAACGCTTCAAATAAAAGTTACCCACTGTTTTCTTTTTAGCTTTGTCGAGGGTTCCGTGCACAAACTGTTCGTTCATATCTGTTCATATCCCACGACCAGCTTTTGTACATATAAGTATATGGCACATGCCCATGTACGATGTGTTGGCGGGAACGCCACTTTTTTTTCCTTCATAAGGTGATTGCCTTGAGAGGCTATTTCAGCTTCATCCTAACGTGTAGGTGAGCTCACGGGGTTCAAAGCGAGTGTGTTACTAACACTGATCCTAGCAAGAGAAGTGCTTCGCAGAATCTACCACCGGATAGGAAACGCGACCCATTGAGAAAATCCGGTGAGAAACTCAGTGGGCTGTGTCTTTGGCTTAATTTACTCGTCGAGCCCTTAGTCGCAGGCGACGGGTTCGGCGAGGACGGTGACCGGTGCTTGGGGTACCTAAAGCACCGTTAGTGGATCGGGAGGATCGGAAATGACGTGATGGATTCTTACTGTTTTACTGGGACATTATTTAATGTAACTTCTTCTTAATTTATTTATATTTTTTATGGTTTAGGCGGATGGACGAGCTTACAGCCTACCTGTTGTTAGGTGGTTACTGGAGCCCATAGACATCTACAACGCAAATGCCCCACCCACCTTGAGATATAAGTTCTAAGGTCTCAATATAGTTCCAACAGCTGCCCAACCCTTCAAACTGGAACGCATTACTGCTTCACGGTAGAAATAGGCAGGGCGGTGGTACCTACCCGCGCGTACTCACAAGAGGTCCTACCACCAGTAATTACGCAAATTATAATTTTGCGGGTTTTGATTACAATTTAAAATAAATCAACTTGATCTTAGTCTATTCCAATTTTAACTCTACTCTGTAGTGGGAACAACATCGCAACAAGCTTCTTAATTGCCACACTCTAAAAGGAAGAAGAACCATATTCAAGATCAAAGAAGAAAGGACGCCATGTTACAAAAAATATTTAAATTTATAAATTTGCATATTTAGCGATCGTAGTGTTGATCGTAATACTAGTTGTGACAGTACCTACTTTAGTTTACTGTTACAGATAAAATGAAGACGGTGGTGTGGGGCCTCCTGTAACATGCTTCTTTATTAATTGACTAGCGACCCGCCCTCGCTTCGCTTCGGAAACTGTAATTTACTATTGATTTCTCCACTATTTAATGGATATTATGGATTTTATACATATAAAAATATAAACCTTCCTCTTCAATCACTCTATCTATTAAAAAAAACCGCATCAAAATCCGTTGCGTAGTTGTAAAGATTTAAGCATACATAGGGACAGACAGATATAGGGACAGAGAAAGCGACTTTGTTTTATACTATGTAGTGAAGCGAAACTTCTTCGACGGCAATTCGATAGTGAACGAAAATTGCGATGAAAACCGAGAGAAGGAATTTGTTATTTATATTCACTGTATTATAATGGTGGGACGTTGTCGCCACTCCAGAGTACGATTCTATAAAATAATAGTTTAAAAAAACTAACAAAATACTCTTCTATAGAAAATCTAAATAAAAAATAGAAAATAAATTTTAATAAATTTGAATTAAAAATTGTGTAAGAAAAAGTGATTTTATTGTATAATAAAAAAGAGTGGAGTGCTTTTCAGGATATTATCAAAATAACCCTTCTACTCATATCTGTTCATAAAATATTTATAACTACTGATACCAAGCACCTCACGCTTTTTTTACAATAAAATCATTTTTTCTTACACTATTTTTAATTCAAATTGATAAAAATTTATTTTCTATTTTCCAGTTGGATTTTCTATAAAAGCGTATTTTGTTAGTTTTTTTAAACAATTTTTTTTTCCTTTTTTAGTTGAATTTCAAATTTTTGAATTATTATTTTTTCAATATTTTTTTTGATATTGAATTGTCATCGGTCCATAATAAGTATACCAGATTTCGAGTTAATCCGACGTTTTGAAGGGGGTTAAAATCATGTTCAAAGATTCTGTTACATACAAACATACATACGTCTGAAGCTAATAAAAGCCTATTAAAAAGTAATATCATCGTACGATAGGTGACGCGCGAATGGTTTCAATAAATCGTTTTTCACACAATTAGCGACGATAGTCACAGCGGTAAACAATATTTCTATATACTTACGCTGAATTGATTTCCGCGCTATGCGGTACGTATTTTGTGACACAACTATGATCGAGCGCGATTTTTTCATTTATAAGTCAAATCAAATAAAATCAAAAAAAAAAAAAAAATATTCAACATAAATGAAAGTACATACTTATTGAACGTCAAAAAAACTACCGCCAATTCACAAGAACTAGCCTCCGTCCTGAGAAGATTTGGCAAGAAACTCAGCGGGCATGTCTTTTTTTTTTACATATGAAATTATTATTTATTTATTTTTTAATATTAGATTTTTTTTAAAATATGAATTTTTTACAATGAGTATTATAACGTAACAATTACTACAATATTGAAATGCCTGGAGCGAGCAACTCATTCCCACTTTGTGCAATCTTCTAGATAATCATTGACTTTATAGTAAGCTTTATTGCACAGATGTTCTTTAATAGTTTAAGTATTACTTATTGTAATTTGATCAAATATGTACTATGTTTTTTTCCATACGTTCCATTGTACCTTGCTTTCGGTGTAGAAATAATATACTCTACCAAGGCTATTTCTCTGTTTATATTATTGGCAATAGTTGAGTTGAACATTAAAAAGAACGCATTATTTTTAAGAACTATTGTAATCTAGTTCACTGTCATTAATTTAAATGTTTTAGTTGGATCTATAAGGTCACAGCCAACCTAGCATAGTCGTCTAGAGATCAATGTTTCTAACTACAGTGCAGTCCGGGATCCATTTCCTGAGTCAGTACACAAATAAGATACCTGGGGGCTGAGTGTACTCATTCTTGTCTCGTATGCGTGTATGTCACACAGCATGATATGAAATAGATTTTTTTCTTTGGAAGGACGGTTTACTGGTGACCCGAAAGCCTATTCCTATTGCACCAGAACAGGTGGTCGAGCAAATTCTCAGTTAGGATTTTTTTATTTTGTTTTGCTAACACAACGAATTATAATTTGCGTAATTACTGGTGGTAGGACGTCTTGTGAGTCCGCACGAGCAGGTACCACCACCCTGCCTATTTCTGCCGTGAAGCAGTAATGCGTTTCGGTTTGAAGGGTGGGGCAGCCGTTGTGCGTATAATGAGACCTTGGTCATCAGGTTTGAGCCCCGTGAGCTCACCTACAAAAGTTAGGGTTATGCTGACATAGCCTCTCAAGGCTCTCAGCTTAGGTAGGAAAAAAAAAAAAAAAAAGAGAGACCTTAGAACTCACATCTCAAGGTGGGTGGCGGCATTTACATTGTAGATGTCTATGGGCTCCAGTAACCACTTGATACTAGGTGGGCTGTGAGCTCGTTGACCCATCTAAGCAATAAAAAAAAACAACGATAAATAAACTTAGGATTTTTTCCTTTTTCCACGTCTCGAAAAATCCGAAAATCTATATATTAATACGTGAAGCAAAAGCTTTGTATTCCTTTTTACGAAAATTGCGCGGACAGAGGAGTATGAAATTTTCCACACTTAAAGAGAATATAGAGAAGAAGTGCACAATGCTAATATTTTTTTAAAATAATGCATAGAAGATACATTAAATCAATAAAGAAAACATTACACACACTACATACCATGTGTTTGACGCACACACGCATGCATACTATTTATTGTCAAACTTTTGTTCTTGACGTCTGTTGTCAAATTGAGATTAAATATTGTTTGTCTTTATTAATATTTTTTATAGTGTAGTCTTGGCGAAATTTGTGATTATAGAAGTATAAAATACAATCGTAATAGTGTACAAACTTACAATTCCAATTAATTATAGTCGAATATCGACTACTGCGGGACCACTAGTGTTAATAAAAAGAAAAATTTGAGTTAACTTTAACGTTTGTCAACTTAATATAATTTCACAAAAGTGGAAATAAATTTTGATTTATCTTCATTTGGTATATAAGATGACGATTTTTGTTGATTTAATTTTATTAGTATCGTGAAATGGGCTGTGCAATTTATCAGAAAATTTAAAAGGTAGACGACACGAAAGGTAGCTTTTTATTCGGTAGAAGCTTCCTATTCCTCAAGGCGCTTAAAGCCCGCAATTACTATAAAACTTACCTTGTCAACTCTTGACAGGATAACGCAGTATTTTTTTTATAAGAAAAAAATGATTAACTAGCAGTGTGTCCAGCGCGGTGTGGCTACGACGCGCGACACGATTTACTGTGACTCGCGAACTTGTAATCTTTTTAATATACCATCCGCGTATTTTTCCTGCAATTGTATTATTTATATAACTTGTGCGAGTTGGTACTTTCAAGCTGCCTATTTTGCCAGGTTTCACATTCGGTTAGAAGTCCAAAACTTGGCCAGTCCGATATCCAAAATGAATTTTGATTCGATCCATAACGAATTTTATGGGTTGTGATATTCACTTAAGAGAAGTCGTTGATTGAATCTAGATAATGGAGATAATTTTTATAACACACGTATTTTAACTGTTACACTTTTGACTATTTTTAATACGCTTTTATTAAATTCAGACGTATGTATGTATGTTTGTAACGGAATCTTTGAACAGGATTTTGACCCCCTTCAAAACGTCGGATTAACTCGAAATTTGGTATACTTATTAAGGANTTCACTTAAGAGAAGTCGTTGATTGAATCTAGATAATGGAGATAATTTTTATAACACACGTATTTTAACTGTTACACTTTTGACTATTTTTAATACGCTTTTATTAAATTCAGACGTATGTATGTATGTTTGTAACGGAATCTTTGAACAGGATTTTGACCCCCTTCAAAACGTCGGATTAACTCGAAATTTGGTATACTTATTAAGGATCAGTGACAATTCAATATTTAAAAAAAAAATTAAAAAAAATTAAATTCAACTAAAAAATGAAAAATAAATAATAGTTAAAAAAAACTATCAAAATACACTTTTATAGAAAATCCAACTAAAAAATAGAAAATTAATTTTAATAAATTTAAATTAAAAATAGTGTAAGTAAAACAGATTTTATTATACAAAAAAACGTGGGGTGCACGGTATCAGTAGTTATAAATATTTACAAACACATGGGTAGAAGGGTTTTTTTTCTTAATAAACACGTTATTTGGAGCATAGGGAAATTTTTTTTTTTGGTAGTATTAAATCTTGTTTGGAAAACCATACGTCATAGCGTTCAGGAGACTTGGAATTAATTCGAGTGCTTGTTAAGGTATTCTGTAATGTGTACTTAGGCAGTTTGCAGCATCTGATATACATGGCATAAGGCCTGAAACACTTCATAGTATTTTCTAGACGTAAACAGTAATATAATTAAATTTCCAACTCAAAGAAATTTATGAACGAGTGAATCCATGGCAAGATTTACTATCTCATCACAAAAGCTGTAACTTCTAAGTCATTGTAAGTACACTGTGCGTATGGTGAAGGATAACATGCCCTCACACGATATTGCATTTGTTAGCCGGACACGGAAAAGATCAAAGTTCAAGAATCTCTTTAATAAATCATTTAGCAGACCGATCGCTATCATGCAGGCGAGACGAAATATTGTTCTTTAAGACATCGCGACCTTTAAGACCGGGTCTATGTAAATATTATTCCGGGTGCTCAATGATTCGCTTCGGAGTGCTTTGCACCGGGAATGTTTTTTACTGGTGGTAGGACCTCTTGTGAGTCCGCACGGGTAGGTACCACCATCAGTGCCGGATTAAGCAAGCGCGGGGCCCGTAGCAAATTATTTCAAAGAGCCCTTGATCTACTATGGGTTCTTAAGTGTAAAGTGGTAAAAAAACACTGTGTCGGGTAAGAGTGCTTGCATACGTCAGACTTTTTGTAGAGCTGATTATCAGGCTGATTGAAATTCTACACGTTTATACAAACAACTTTTTCTTAATAAGTCACTCAAAAAATTAAGCTCGGGCAGAGATGAGTGGGTTTAAATATGCGGGGCCCCCGTTCGCGCGGGGCCCGTAGCAATTGCTACTCTTGCTATATGGTTAATCCGGCACTGACCACCACCGTGCCTATTTCTGCCGTGAAGCAGTAATGCGTTTCGGTTGAAGGGTGGGGCAGCCGTTGTAACTATACTGAGACCTTAGAACTTATATCTCAAGGTGTGTGGCGCATTTACGTTGTAGATGTCTATGGGCTCCAGTAACCACTTAACACCGGTGGGCTGTGAGTTCATCCACCCATGTAAGCAATAACAAAAAAATATGTCTGTTCTCGTACTTAGCAAAGAGGGTGAAGTCAGTACCAAGGTGGATCAGGTGGACACCCCAGACATGGTCTTGAACGGTGACTGTTGATGGTTTTATCCCAGTGAGTTTCTCGTCGGATCTTCTCAGTGGGTCGCGTTTCCTATCCGGTGGTAGATTCTGCGAAGCACGACTCTTGCTAGGGTTGGTGTCACCTATTTGCCCGGTGACGCTGATATGGTCTCTCAAAACAATCAGGTTAGGCAAGAAAGAAAAAAAAAGTAAAAAAAAAGTTGTTTTATGAACTGGTTCGAGGCTATAGTTAGAGCAGCCGCAGACACGTGACTATGGCCTCGCATGACTGTCGTGAATTATTGTTCCAATATCGTCTATGGGCAGTGCTTCATATCTATATTAATATATAAATCTACAGTGGTTTTTACGGATGTTCCGTTATAACTACTGAACATGCATCCGATCGACTTGAAACTTGGTATCCACGTAGAAAATACATGTAGTTAATGGATAGGCTAATATTTATATGAGCGTTGGACTCCCTAATAATAATAACAATAAATAATAATGTTAATTTTAAATGCCAATGCCATAATTACAATTTGCGTAATTAATGGTGGTAGGACGTCTTGTGAGTCCGCACGGGTAGGTATCAGGCAGCCGTTGTAACTAGAACTTATATCTCAAGGTAGGTGGCGGTATTTACGTTGTAAATTTCTATGGGCTCCGGTAACCACTTAACATTAGGTGGGCCGTGAGCTCGTCCACCCACCTATGCAATAAAAAATATATAAAAAATATAGATGTGTTCGTGGACCTTAAGCCTAGATCATCGTGAAGATGTCACTAACCACTTGACCAACGAAGTAATCAAAGTTACATTAAACCAAAGTTCAAAATTAAATCATTGTGTAATACTTTAATAATTGAATTAAACATTTTAATTTATTTGTACAAAACAATGTCTCGACTGACCGAACAGACAAACAAATTAATGTTAATGCATTGAATTAATTTCACATAAATTATTTTATAATTAAATATGTGACATTAAGTTGTTATTTAAATAGATGAACAGGTTTAATTTCCTATTTTGTATTCACCAAACATACTGATTTTAAGGCTTGGCTCGTCTCTTACATGTACGGAGGCTTACAGTACAGATGCGGCTTACATTGCACTGTACAGGTCCCGACATGAGATTAAAGTCTATTTACTAGTTGAGAATTTTTTTTATGATTGAAGGATAACTGGTGGCCCGGAGACCTTTCCAGTTTCACAGGTGGGCCAGCAAAGATTCAGCCAGGAGGGTTGGGATTAGCTAACTGACCTAACAACTCAAGAACAGCTACTTCGCGAATGAATCTACTACCGGATCGGAATCGCGACCCGCTAAGAAAATCCAGCGAGAAACTCAGCGAGCTGATGCATGGGTTAAGTTGCACGTCGAACTCTAGCCGAGAGTCCTATGTCGATGACCATGCTTTTTTAATTGCTTGTGTAGACAGACGAGGATGTAGCACACCTGATGATGAGTGGTTACCGTCACCCGTGGACCTTAGGAATGTAAGGTACTGCTTTACATGATGAAGGAGTAACATATTTTGGTGAACATTCAACTTTTTATATATTTATTTTTTATTGCTTAGATGGGTCGACGAGCTCATAGCCCACCTGGTGTTAAGCGGATACCGGAACCCATAGACATCTACAACGTGAATGCCGCCACCCACCTTGAGATATAAGTTCTAAGGTCTCAGTATAGGTACAACGGCTGCTCCGCCCTTCAAATCGAAACGCATTACTGCTTCACGGCAGAAATAGGCAGAACTTGAAATTGTTTTATTAAGTTGTGAATGACTTGTTATATTTTGAGCACGCTCGGGTAGGCACCCACTGCCTAACTCGGCCGCCAACCAGCCCTCGACAGTTCAGGGTGGATGATTGCATACGCACTGTGATATAGCAGCTGCGACTGTATACATTCTGACAAGAAGTTTCTCGGCAACTCTGAATAATAAATAACAGTTTTTTTTTTTACAAAATACGTTTTTATAGAAAATCCAACTAAAAAAGCGTGGGGTGCATGGTATCAGTAGTTATAAATATTTTATGAACAGATATGAGTAGAAAGGTTATTTCTATAATATCCTGAAAAGCACCCCACGCTTTTTTACAAATAAAATCATTTTTTCTTACACTATTTTTAATTCAAATTTATTTAAACTTCTATTTTTTATTTTCTATTTTTTAGTTGGATTTTCTATAAAAGCGTATTTTATTAGTTTTTTTAAACTATTGTTTATTTTTCATTTTTTAGTTGAATTAAAAAAAAAAAAAAAAATTAATTTTTTCATATTGAATTGTCATCGGTCCTTAATAAGTAGACCAAATTTCGAGTTAATCCGACGTTTTGAAGGGGGCCAAAATCATGTTCAAAGATTCCGTTACATACTAACATACATACGTCTGAAGCTAATAAAATTGTATTAAAGATGAAGCCGGTCACATTCATCATTCTGTGATCTTGAATTTTTACAAATAATATAAGTGGTCTTTGGATTAATGTAATTATGATTATAATCTATGTTGTACCGACATTGTACCATCATGTATTTTTCCATCAGAACAGGTTTGAGCCAATGCTTGCCAGTTTAATGTTTATAAATATTATGTTCATAAAACCCATGAGTCTGTTATAAAAATAGACTGAACGATAAATTATGGTTTTAATTAATTAAATACAAACAAGGGAGTCGTGATGGCCGACGGGTTTTGATTGAATGAGACGATGTCGGTCACAAGTGCTCTGCGCCGGTGCTGTGGAGGTCAAATACCCAGTCTTGGGGCTGACACTGAGAAAATATTCAGATCCTGGATTCGAGATTTCATCCTTTGATAATTCATTCACCATCCAGGCGGTTCGATTGTGGAATGCTCTGCCGGGTGCAGTCAGAAATGCTCTAACTTTCAACTGCTTTAAAAGAATGGTGAAGGAACATTACTTATCTG